CGTTATCAGTGTGTAATATTTGCATAAACCATTGCTCAGTCTAAATGCCTTGCTTTATAAGCTCATCAAAAATGCAATAAGTCACAACATTAATATATTGACACATTTCAAAGGTTCAAATAAATATCTAAAACTTACTTTGTTAAAATGCAATAAATTGATTTTTTGGCTAGTGATGGCATTTGTTGGAGAATTTGTATTTGATATGTGGCTTGTTTATTTAAAGTGTGGCTTGTTACATTTTTACAATAAGCCCCTCAATTGGTGAAGTAAAACAACACTTTATATCCCAAGTAAAAAATAAAATTTGTATCTCATTCTGTATTATAATTGCAATATGTAGACAAGGACGTTATACTCGTAGGGTCAAAAAAAGGGTCATTAGCGTGAGACCATTGCAGAGAAATGGTTTCTCCATCATGACAACGCCCCATGTCACACTGCCCTCTCCATAACAGAATTTTTGACCTCAAAAGGCATTCCTGTGGTTCTCCATCCCCCTTATTTCCCTGACCTCAGTCCCTGTGACTTCTTCATTTTTCCTAAACTGAAATATGTCCTCAAAGGCCGTCATTTCGGGACTTTAGAAATCATCCTAAAGACTGCAACGGACCTACTGAAAACCATAACGATTGAAAACTTCCAGCGCTGCTACGAACGGTGTGTAGCTGCCCAAGCGAACTACTTTGAAGGGGATAACATTGATGTTTGAAAGAAATAAAAACTTTGTAAAGTAAAAAATCAGTCTCATTACTTTTCTGCCACACCTCGTACAAGATATATTTAGTTTTATGTGCGAGTCTGACATAAATCTGAATGTAGGACTCGCCCATTGATAAATCAGATTCATTTTTTTAGTGTGGACTGTATTTAGATGTTTTTGGTATGGTTGAAATTCAAAGGACCCCGCAATAATCTTATGGAAATTGGGTTTCTGTCAAATTGTCTGAATTTTTGATATATTGTAGAATTTGTCATCCTGAACAAAAGTCTCCATGGGCACAAAGTGCCAAAATGAATATTTTGGCAGCTACGGATCTGCCAAAGCTCCTCTGACCCGTTTCAAAACTATTCATTTTCAATACTATTTACAGATATCAAAAGCCTATTTTAATTATTCTAATATATATGGTAATGTTTTTGAGGTCACTGGATTCAACCCTCATGTCAGATTGGACAAATTTACCGTTGACAGCTGTCAATTTACTGTCAATGAGGAATATAAAAACAAATATCCTCTTTTCACATTGAGAGTTTGGGTTTTTGAGGTCGCTCAATTTAATTCTCATGTCAGATTGGACAAATTGACCGTTGACAGCTGTCAATTCACGGTCAACGAGGAATAGAAAAGTAAATATCCTCTTTTCACATTGAGAGTTTATGTTGGCCAACTCGCTAAATTCAATTCCTTTTAGAATTGGAGAAAATGGTAGTTGACAAACTCTCAATAACAAAAAAGAGAATATTTTCTTCGTTATTCAACTTTGACAGTGAATTGACAGCTGTCAACTGTCAATTTTTCCAATCTGGCATAATAACTGAATTCAGCAATTTTAAGAACCCAAACTCTCAATGTCAACAGAGAATATTTACTTCTCTATTCTTCGTTGACAGTGAATTGACAGCTGTTAACTGTCAATTTGTCCAATATGACATGAGAATTGAATTCAGCGACCAAAAAACCCAAACTCTTAATGTGAAAAGAGGATATTTACTTTTATATTCCTCGTTGACAGTGAATTGACAGCTGTCAACGGTCAATTTGTCCAATCTGAGATGAGAATTGAATCCAGTGACCTTAAAAACATTACTTTATATATTAGAATAAATAAAATGCTTTTGACATCTGTAAATAGTATTGAAAATGAATAGTTTTGCAGCTATGAAGACAAGAGATAAGGAGGCGAATCGGCCTTGGTCAAATTTCAAATTTCCGTCCCTATTTTTATGGAGTTCCAAAAAACTACTGTAGTTGGCGGGTGGCAAAATAACGACGTCTATTTTCTATACAAGTCAATGGGAATTAAAGTGATTTTTGTAACATTTAGTGAAAAGAATAAAAATAAGCTGAAATAAAGAACCTGACTACAAGTAACAATGAGTAACAAAAAACGACAAAGCAGGATTTTCTTCGTGCCGAGTTGCAAAACGGGATATAAATCCGATATAAAATAAAGAAATCACAAGGAGATAAAAATCCAAGTCTTTTTAAAGCTCCTAGTGTAAGTAAAATAATGTATTTATTTCTAAATAATATATTGCCGTTCCGGTAAAACAATGACGCAAATGCAAAATTTTTAATTTTTCAGGAGAGACGAAAAACGAATATTATTACTTCCAAATTTGGGCACATAAATCACAAAGAACTTGTCCTAAAAGCAAATACGACATTTAACCATGGAGTAAGTAATGTCTCCCTTAATTTTGCAGACACAACTGATTCATATGTAATTTTTTTCCAAAAGAGGAGGGGACAACATTAATATTTGAAAACTGACGCAACTACCATCTAGCAGCCGCGAGTGGATATAGAATTACGCCGTTGTTATACCTTATAGAGACTAATTTGGAAACTAATAACATGTTAAAATCAAAATGTCACAATTTTGCACTTGCGTCATTATTTTACCGGAACAGCGATATATTTATTGTAAAATAGTCACAACCCGTATCTTACAAAATTCTATAATAAAAAATAATAAAGTCATAAATCCTGACTTACAAACAACAATAATTACACATTAAATTTAACTTACTAGAAAAGAAAATTTTGCTTTTTTTATGTTTTTTGATGTTAGGTGAAGGGTTACTACTGTTATTTTTCTTTATTGAACTCCAATTTAGTCATTGCAAATATTTTTTATAGGATCCTAAACGTTTAGAATAATGTGATTCCTAGGGCAGATAAAGTACTGTCTAGTTATGATTCTGTTTGCGAGCTACACTTTTTAGAAGATGATATTTTAAAATTTGATGAGACTATTTTACCAAATGGTACTGTTAGCAAAATAAAAAGGGGACAGCTGAAATTATGGGATGAGGTAATACCATGTACATTCCCAAATCTCCCTTTATACTTGTATTACAACAATAAACAATCTGTTAACTGTGTTTTCTTTTACTCTTAAAACTATACATATATTGGTTCAATTCAAAAAAAAAAAAAAAATTTGCCACAAAATTGTACTTATCAAATTTCAGCAATTAAGAAACCTTTTCGAATTTGGTCATACATACCAAAATTGTATTTTAGATAGATAAAATTAAATAATTTATCAATTAAAACATGCAAGACTTATTTAGAAATAAATACAACAGTATATTTTGTGCTTTATTTAGCTATAAATAAGTTTATTTTTATTATTTTGACAAAATTATGTATAATTCCCATAAGAAGCCATGTATTTTGAACTACGTAAACCGTACCAGCGCCCATGCGGTTAATTATAAAAGCTCAATTGACGTGTGATTTTTGGGACCGTATTTTGAGCATGCCGATTCGCCTCCTTACCTCTAGTCTTCATATTTGCAACGGGTCAGGGGAGCTTTGGCAGCTCCGTAGCTGCCAAAATATTCATTTTGGCACTTTGTGCCCATGGAGACTTTTGTTCAGAATAACAAAATCTACAACATATTCAAAATTCAGACAATTTGACAGAAACCCAATTTCCATAAGATTATTGCGGGGTCCTTCACCTGTTACCACTGATACATGTATTGGCGAACTTTCACATAAAGATAGTCTTTTACATCTTTTAATTCTTATTAAAAAACTAATCAAATAGCTCTTTAATTTGTAATACCTTGTGATAAAAATATACAGGGTGTTTTTTTAATATAACTTTACCACCCTGTAGTTCAAAATCTAAGAGGCGTAAGACATATGTTCATAGGAACCTTTTTGCTTTATTTCGTCTAAGGGAGCCTCTGAATTTTTTCGCAATATTAAAAAACACCCTGTATATTGTCGGCATGAAAAAATCTGTCACCTTGATGATTAGAAAAGTTCTTCTGTTGTTCGTACGTGAAATCAAGATGGAGGTGAGCGTCACTAACTCCGTTTTTCATTGTTTGACCAATCGTTTGTTCATTACGGCGATTCAGTGTGCTTTTTCATTGGTTTTTAAAGGTAGTTGTGTCGCGGAAGAAAGGGTGACGTAAACACTTTTCTAATTTCGGAATAAGATGAGAACTCCATAGGTGGCTCGATGCAAAATAAAGTTAAAGGAATATTAAGCAAAATGTTGAGGTATTTCAATAGTTTACTTATATTTATTAAAAAATATACATTAATTGCCATGCTGTAGAAGTAAATTATTATGCACTTCTTTGAGATTTAATGTTATTAAACAGTACCAAAACCTTAACGCATTTTCCTACGTGAGCGGCATTAGGAGGCTGACGCTGCAATCGCGGCGTAGGCATAGACGCGACCAGAGCGTCCTACCAATGAGGCTATTTTCAAACTCGAGAGAATTAATTTCTCTCAAGAGAAATGTCATACGTCAACGTAAAACAGTATTTTTAGGGCTCTTAGGGCCAGTATGAACTCACTGACTGTTTTTCTCGGTTTATTTAGAGACAATTAAAATTCTCCTAAGAAGTTTAAACCTCGAGGCCTTTAAAAACAGCCTTTGCACATTGACATATGACATTTCTAATGAGAATCTTGAGAGAAATGAGTGCTCCCATACTTTGAAAATAGCCCCCCTGGCAAAAGCACATACAGTAGTTGACTGGCATAGACTGAAGCTGCATAGGCGAAAATATTAAATATTTTTACCGACTGTGCCGCCTCAGAAACACTTGAGCCGTGCGTGCCGCGCGGTAGTTGCTATCTATGAATTATTATTGTTTTGATATCACCGCGTTGGCCGCGTGTTGCCGCTCACGTAGGACAATGCGTTACAGAACACCAAATAACCAAAGTATTTGAATTGACGAATGCTAAATAACAAAAAGTGTATTTTACCGTCTATCTATTTTTTATTTTGTTTCAGACGATATTAAGCTACATCGCTTCCAACGGATCGATAGATTTATTAGAACAAATATTACATTTGCCCGGATTGGACCCAAATAAACCAGACAATGAGGGCAATTCTCCGTTACATTTCGCTGCTCAGGCGGGTGAGTTGCATTTATTTATTCATTAGTCATTACTATTCTACTTTAATACGATTTAACAGTAAAGGGCTAGACTACCATACAATTTCGTTACTTTATCATTTTTGTTCTGAGTTTTGCATCGTGTTGGAGCTAGAGGTACATTTATCAAGCGTTTTATCTGGATTAGTATTTCCAATCTCCAACAAATTAAATGGCGCAGTGTAGAAAATCGGCGAATTTTTTTATTAAATTATCGCCTTCTTCCTAATGGTCTCTTCTATCTTAAAGGGCGTAGTTGTAGACTATATAAATTAAGGATCTTTTAGAAAATCGTGCTGATATATTGATTGTTGTGGAATGCAAAAATTAAAGTGATTGCTTCTGATAACTGGTTCATAAATTTTATATTCAATAACTACATAACAATTGAGTGATACTTTTACATAAAACTAAATTCAAAACATGCTGGCTTAAAAGAGCTTCTTATGATTTGTTTTAATGTTAGAATTGCGACAGTTTAAAGCGGAGATTAATTTTGTTTTGATAGCTTGGAGGTTCGAATAGTTTACTCGTTTAAAAATGTGTCCTTGTCTTGTGATTGGTTTAAAGAAATGATGCGGTTTGACAAAATTTGGCGTGGAAAGAGGTAGAGTGAACTGTTGAGCAAGCATTTGCAATTCAACAATTTATTTTAAACGGGTTTATGCGGGTGCGGGTGAAATACGTCTGTGAGTGGGAGCGAGTTAGAGCTTATATTTATTTAAACGGAATTTTTGCACAAAATAAGAAAGCTATATCTCGCCTAGGATTTCAACTGCTTACAGATGTCTTATTACCAAACAGGATATTTTAAAATACGTTAAACGGCATTTACCAAGGTTGGCTTTAAAGTTTATTATTTATGTAATTGAAACATGATTTTTACTTTCCTGTCTGTATACAGATATAAGAAAAGTATAGGAATCATGATTTTTTTCGACCTCGAGTTTTCGACGGATTTTTACGTTTTGAGGTCCCCTGAATCCGTTTTGACTATTTTCGCCATGATGTCTGTGTGTGTGTGTGTGTGTGTGTGTGTGTGTGTGTGTGTGTGGGTGCGTGTGTGTGTGTGCGTGTGTGCGTGTGCGTGTGTGTGTCGCATAACTCATGAACCAATACACAGAAAAACACCAAATTTTAAACTTAAGCTTTGCTCCAGCGTCCAATGTGCTGATTAGATTTTGGGCAGTGTCGGAACATCTGGGGGGGTACTTTATAGGTGGTCATTTTTATATTGTATGAAATATATGTTATTTACGTTTGGGGAAGAAATTTCTTCAAATAAAAGTTACTTCTTATATTATTATCTAAAATTTTTGTTTTATACAAAATTTTCCTAAAATGGTCCGTATTCGAGAAATTTGACAAAATGTAAAAAAATACTTTTTTATAAAAATTGATCAAACAAAAGTTGTTTGCAATATAATTCTCTATAATTTTTATCCTATACATAATTTCTCTAAAATGGACCGTATTCGAAATATTTGAGAAAATGTGTAAATTTCGAAATTTGAAGAAAACTCAAAAACGGATAAAGAAAAAAACATTAAATTTTAAACTTAAGTTTTATTTCGGCCTGACGTGAAATGATTTTGGACAAAGTCGGAACATCTGGGGGTACTTTATGGGGGGCCGTTTTTATATTTTATGGAATATATCTGTTATTTATGTTTGGAGAAAAAAATTGTTCAAATAAAAGTTATTTCTAATATTATTATCTATAATTTTTGCCTTATGTCAAAATTTCCTGAAATGGTCCGTATTCGAGAAATTTGACAAAATGTGCAAAATTCCGATTTTTATGAAAATTGTTGAAATAAAAGTTGTTTGCGATATCGATCTCTATAATTTTTGTTTATACATGATTTTTCTAAAATGGACCGTAATGGAAAAATTGTAGGAAAAGTGCTAAATTTAAATTTTTCAGTATTTTCATTTTCAATGAGTATCTATAGAAAAATGTTTCGAGGTAGATGTATGTGGAAAATGTATATATCTATTTTATCCTCTAAACATTTATGGAGGTGCTGCAATAGGTTGTACAAAATAACCGGAAAAAGCCTGTAATAACTAGATAGGAAAGTCATGTGTTGGACACATCAGATTTTTAGTTTAGGTAATGCAAACTACGATTGAATCATAAAATAAAATATTGTTCTTATGTTAACTATACAGTATTACGTTACATTATTTATACAGGGTTGGATCATAAAGAGAGTAACTAAAGTTATTTGTTAAACAATGCTTGTAATTAGTCCCTTATTACTGCAAACAACAATACTAAATTTTTACAAAGTCGGCCAAAGGATATTAAGATATTTATTAAAAAACGATTTTAAAAAAAGTTGTACAGTGTATCTTGAAAACTGTATTTCTAAACCCATGTTCATAAATAAAAAAAATCATGTTTTCTAATGTTATATTACCTCTGAAGTTATTCGAAAGGTATTTCTGGACACCCTGTAGACCTTCATTCAAAAACATAAAATTATTTTGTTTGTATAAAAAGTTTATGTTTCTACACCGATAAATATTTGCAGTTCGGTTAATAAAGAATAAAATAGCATTTAAAATACTTAAATTTTCAAATTTAAAAATTATAATTTCACAATTATACGGGGTGAATCCTAAATTAATACTTTTTTCAGGTATGTATAGTTATTAAAATGTACAAATTAAAAAAAAAACTCAAAAATAAGAAACTTACAATAATTTATTCCAAAATGTATCCATTATGGTTTTGTAAATAATGTGTTCAAAGTTGTCACCATTCACTGAAGGTAAAGCACAATTAGCTTAATTTTTAATATAAAAGTCCAGGCCCGGATTTAGATTTTGAATTCTGTATTTGTCTTATTTGAGTTTTTTTTATAGAGTTATTTGAAAAAGATGTTTATACAGTTAAAAAAGTATCTACTTAGGATTCACCCTATATAGGATGTTAGGGTTTTGTCTACAAATATTTTAATATAAGAAAATTTAAAGCATTTGAAGCAAAAAAGTATTATATTATACTCTATGGATTCTAGTTCAATAGTCTGTCATATGGCTTTTTTTCAACAAAACTGGCACAACTCAAAAACATTGATTTCTTTAACAGAAGCGATTAAATGCTAAGTAATTTAAGGTCCCTACCTTTGAAAAAACATTTGATGTAATAATGGAACTGCTTCATACAATTTTTATTTGTAAACTATTAGGTAGTTACGGTTTAATCTATTCCCACAAATTAAAAAAAAAGAACCACTTTATCCAGACAGCAATTTTTTGCTAGATGGGATAGAAAATTTATCGTACAAAGTCGATAATTGCTTCGTATTTAAGTAATTGAATCCACTCGACAGCCAGCAGAACTATAAAATTACTGTTACAACTCGTCGGGAAAACTGGGATCAATTTAAGGAGTAATTAGGTCCTGGGGGAATAACAAAATGCAACTACTCTAATCGAATGATATCGAAATATAGATAAAAAGGTCGATAAAGCATTAGCGGAAAAATTGTTTGGAAGGGTAAATAATTTCGAAAAATTGATTTTCTAAAACAAATTCTCAGCAATTTACACTGTAAGTCGGGCCCGAACCTAAGTCATGCCAAACTCGATTAGTGGTAGAAAATCTTTTAAAAAAAGTATATTTAATAATTTGTTTTTTATTTCAGGACAAATCGAGTGCCTAAATTGCATGCTGAGCCGGTGCAGAGGCATAGAAATAGACGCGCGGAATAATTTAGGTTTTACTCCATTAATGAAGGCTGCCCTACAAGGAAGAAATAAATGTGCCAAACTCCTGCTATTCGGAGGTAATAATTTGATTCATACATATTTATAGGTTAGATTTAAATGTGTTCCTAAAATGCGACGTCAGTAGCAAGTTAAAATTAAAAAATTACAGTATAGGAAAGGTTAAAAAAATAAGAAAGTTAATATTTGGCTTATTATTGCGTTTCGATGACCGTATTTTAAACTAAAAAGTTTTAAACCATTTCAGCATCCAAAAATTTCAAACTATAGTAACAATAATTATTCTTAAGGACAATTTGAGACCTACAATTTTCTCTATCTCCATCTGAGGCTACTCCCGAATCCTTTTATTGCAGCATCGAAAGTTTGTGTTAGATTGACAATAAACTATTTTTTGAGTACATTGATCATGATCACTACTAATGATATCATTAATACAAAATATGTTTGATAGAAATTGATATTTTATGGATTTAAATTTATATACCGTACACTCTTAAATATAGATAGAACTGTTAATAGATTAGCATAAGATAGAGTATGATAAGGTCGAATAGTAATTAGGATAGATAAGCGTAAAATATAAGCTAGAATAGTGTATATAGTGTAGAATAGAATATATTAGAGTAGTTAAAAATAGGGTAGAAGAGTGTAAGGGATTTTCTCGCTTTCTAACAAGTGGCGCTTGTTTACGGGACGGCTCTCAGGCGCCAGATTTTGTATGTGGTTTACTCCACAAACTTTCGAAACGGCGTCGAAAGTACTCGGGCAGCATAGATGGAGATGAAAAATTCCAGGGGTCAAAGGTCACTTAGACTCGGATAATTAGTAACGGGCTTTAATCATTACTTGTGGTTGTAAAGAATTTCTCACTGCTGAAAAGTAAGGGAGAAGTAAATTAGGGACACATATATTGATTTAACTATTTACAATTAAAATAAAATATTTTAACGCTAACCCTCTTGGTTATGAAACCCTGAACAAAAAAATTAAAACAAAAACAAAACGGGAACGAACGGCTGATATAGTTGGTACGGTGAAGGGGTCGCGTATATAAAAAAAAACGTTTTCGTAAATCTTAGACTAAGGTCAAAATTTAAATCTCGGAGAGTAGGAATTTACAAATTTTAAATTTACGGCAATTACTCTTAAAACGCAAGAAAAATCAAAATGTATATGAATTTAAAAATTAAAAATTTCGGCAATTACTGAAATCGCAAAGCAAATCAAAATTTTGATCAAGAATAGTATAAGTTTAAAAATTCCAAATTTACGGTCATTTTCTTAAATAGCAAAGAAAAATCTAAATTTAAATCAAGGATAGTATGAATTTTAAAAATTCCAAATTTACAGTAACTTTCTTAAATCACAAAGAAAAATCTAAATGTAAATCCAGATAAAAATTTAAACTGAGGCACTTCTAAAACTCGTGAGGATCACTTGAAATCTTTTTTAAATGTTTTTTTTTTAACCCCTGAAGCCAACGAACCAAGCTACGCTGAATCAAACCCACACTACAGCCAGGGAGGAAAATAACACAGGGAACCTTCAGCCCTCACTGAGTTATTTAAGAATAGCCAGGAAGGAAAACTAACACAGGGAACCTTAAGCCCTCACTGAGTTAATTGCGGATATCTAGGAAGGAATATAACATAGGGAACTTTAAGCCCTCACTGAGTTATTTGAGAATAGACAGGAAGGAAAGGTAACACAGGAACCTTAAGCCCTCACTGAGTTAATTGCGGATAGCTAGGAAGGAAAATAACACAGGGAACTTTAAGCCATCACTGAGTTATTTGGGAATAGACAGGAAGGAAAACTAACACAGGGAACCTTAAGCCCTCACTGAGTTAATTGCGGATAGCTAGGAAGGAAAATAACACAGGGAACTTTAAGCTCTCACTGAGTTATTTGGAAATAGCCAGGAAGGAAAAATAAAGGAACGGAGATTTTTATATTCAAAACAGGAAATGATACCCTCCCCTTCGGTAGAACAAAATCCTGGACAGTCAAACTAAACAAATAAAAAAAATTAACAATATTCAGTTTCCGTATTTCCTACGGTTAGGAATTTAACAAATCTATTTTTCTAAGTCTATCTAAATTAAAAAAAAAACGAAAGGAAATAAACACTTAATTCCTATCTTTTCATAATTTACTTATTTAATAATTCTATTTTCAAAGTCGATTTATACCTTCCGAATTATGAATTTCTCTGGCAGTTCTCGATCTCGACTCGACTGGGTGCTGACGTTCGTTCTCGTTTAAAATATTAAAAAGGATAAATTCCCAAATCTACAATTTTCTATAATATAAATTTTAAACTCTGGTTTAAAATGAGTTTTGAAAACCATTGCTATATTGTGAAAGTACTATGGATTTTCGGATTATTATATATTTCAAACTAATAGATACATGGTGAAGCCAAAAAGTTGATTTATAAATTAAAATAATAACGAATAATTAATTTTATTAAATTGATATGCCGGATTCTAATAAAAGTTAGATTTAAAATCATTATTAAAAATACTAATTCGGCAATTGAATAAAAAAAATGACTTCATTATAATAGTGAATAGTATAGGCTAGAATAAGATAAAACACATTTAGATAGAATAAAACCTGTAAAAGTATGTCATTTATATAAATGTTAAAATTAAGAGGTCCAGTACTGAACCTTGAAGAACGAAGTTTTTATTTAAATATATTTTACTTCATCCTGGATAAAAAAGTTAGAAATTTATATTTACGAACGGTTGACCGGTCAATCGTATTTGCACTTAAATCGGAAATAGAAGAGGATAGAGCCAATAAACACGCAAATTGGTTCGAATCTTGGAGGCGGCGATTGGTGGAAAGAAAAACGATTTGGGTTGAAGTGTGTTCGGTTTAGTGTGGAAAAAGCGACGTTCGCTAAATTTTATTGAATAGAAAAAGGCCAATATAGAACCTTTTTATTTATCGTTAAAGGAAATATCTTTCGGAATATCGGTAATGTAATCATGGAAAGTGTTTTCTAGTTGTTCCGGATTGTACGAGGTTTGTTCAATTGAAACCAGTCAGTCTTTTGACAAATTTGCCTTTGTAAACAAATGAAATTGACGTTTTGACAACACATGATTATTTGGAATCTACAAGACCGTGAGTTCGAGTAGAAACTCAGGTTGCTCTGAGTTCATTTTTGCGTTTTTTTAGAGATTCGGAGTGTGAACTGTCGCTTTCGATATGACTCTGAGTATGGACTCCGAGTGCACTCTTTTAACTCTGTGTTAGAAGATTGAGATCTGTCGGGAAGTTAAATAATGAAATGTCAATTAACGGCACATATTATTGTTCTGTGGGTTTGTGCTAGGTAATATCTGTATTTTAAAATTATTTAACTCATATAGATGATTATAAGTAAATTCTGAAAGAGTATTTTATGCTATTCTACTGTAATGCATAATAATTAACTGACCGTTGACTAACATACTGGATTGAGGTTATGATTTTTACTGAGTGACAGAGCGCGTCCGAGTTGTTACTACATTCGCTCTCTGACTCTGCTCATGCCCTGCTCACTCCATAAGGCGTCATCTCGAACTTGTCCAGAGTGTTCCACTGATCTTGGTGCATACAGGGCGTTTCATTACAATGGAAAAACTGTTAATTTGACATATCACGAGTCAAATAATGACAATTGACTCGAACATTGTCTTGGTTGCTTAGAATATATAGAAAATTGAAAGTTTAAATTTTATTTATTTTTTTGACAAGTAATGACTTGAAAATTTGCAAATTGATGTTTCTTTAACGAACTTTGCAACAAATATATAACCTATTGCTTTGAAAATAGACCCATAATGTTTTATCCTGTACAGCTAATGTTAAATGGGTTCCAAAATTTGAAACAACCACCTTTTTTAAACAAAAAAATTATATTCTTGTTTCATTTTGTTGTTCCAATTCGTTTTGAAGAAATAACGATTTAATACAGATTGTTTGTTGTACTTTTTAAACTTTATCTTCGGTGTACCACACATTCTATGACGATTTGAATATCTAGAAGTTCTTGTACAAAAATGCAAGCTTTGAAACATATTTATTTGCTTACTTCCGGTTGCTTGTTGTATAAACTGGCGCAAAATAAATATAACAATCTGAATGCGCTCTTCAATATGTCTGCAATTTTGTATAGTATCATGCCTAGTTTTTTGTTACGATTAAAATTATGTTCAGTCCTCATTATTTGACATCATTTTAAAGTAATGAATATCAATTCACTAAATGTTTTTTTTACCACATCTGATCTGTGTTTCTCCTCAAACAAACTTTTATGACCTCGCTGCAGTGCAACTCTAGATGTATATGTGATTGTAGACGTTTATACCAAATATTTGTTAACAGCACTCCCGTCCACCAGATCTAACCTCTCCAGATAAATAACTAAACAAACAACATAATACTTTTATTACAATTTCAACTTAACTATATTCACAAAAAAAAAACCTAAAACCCCATCGAAGACTAAGAGGGCAGCACCTCCGTCAATACTTTCCTCGTTTTCACGGACAACGAAGTCGGAAACCGTATATTATAATTCACCAACAAATCTCCTCGTCTTGAAGGTTCCTTAGGGAAAGGCAATCCCTCTCCGTTTAACTTAGACACGGTATCCGGTGAGATGATGTCTTTCTTGTAGTCCAAATGGAGATACTTTCCCGATAGGGTCGGCACTTGGACCACGCATCCCGTCAGAGCATCCCGCAGACTGAGTTTGATCGTTGTCCTGGAGAAATCAATGGATAAAAAACAATTAAGGGGTCCGAGAATTTAATTATATATATAAAAGTATTAAGGTATACTTGAAATCTCTTATAAAAAATCTTTTGGCTGTTAAAATTAACTTCCACATAACTTCCGAATCGGACGATGAATATCTAATGTAAAATGCGATAAATATACATCCGAATCAAGATTAAATTTCGTAATTATTTCATGGAAAGGAGTTTTATTGTTTTGTCCGAAATTTTAAAAATGTCCGGATTTATAAAAAAATGTTCGGATTATTAAACAATTGTCCGAATTACAAAAATGTCCGAATTTAAAAAAAAATGTACGGATTATTTAACAAATGTCTGTATTTTTAAAGATATGTTCGGAATTAATTAGGTGTTTCATGGAAATTATATTATTGAATATGGCAACCCTAGTTGTATGTCACGAGTAATGGTTTTCACTTGACGTAAGAAATTTTCCGAAAGTCAGAAAACAGTCGAAAATGAACGTAAAATGGGTCCCTGTGCTTTACGACGTTAAGGGTGTAATCCTCCTGGAATGGATACCTGTGTGAAGGTGGACTTGGACACCCACCATATTTACCTAACTTATGCCTCTGTTTTAAGCAATATTGTGAAAATAAAGCTCATAATTTGTCGGACCTCGTATATTCAAAAATAAATGCTTCATACCTAATATCGCTGCCTTCCCTTTTGAAAATTCTATGCGGTTTATCTCTAATCACGAAAACTATATCGGCTGGAACGTTGCCGGTATCCTGATCGCCTTCCTTCGGGAACGTTACTTTCGTTCCCGCCTTCCATCCCGGTTTTACGTTTACCGTTAACATTTTATCCTCCCGCTCTATTCTGTTGTTCCTTATTACTTTTCTATTGATCTTCATGGTTTTCGTACAACCTAAAAGATAAGCGCAAGAAAATATTTTAGGTCATTAATTATTGTAGTCCTTAAATTTTTCAACACTGACTCCAGAAGAACGGTATAGAAAGACAATGATGTAGAATAGACAGAAATAGAGCTACCATGCTGATCCGCTAATGATAAAGGTGAAACCATGGGTCCAATCACAGCAGGAAGAAAGGCAAGTCGCGAGTTACTCTCTTTATGTATCTCACATCCAAATATAATTAAGCGCATCATCTTTATTTCGCTTGATGCGTTGGTTATCATACTTTATATGTAGTTGGAGCCTAACTGGGCCCATTGTTATTTGTTCTGAATCGGTGAGGTCTATCTAAGTTGTTTGTCCAGTCATGGTTAAGAATTTATTTGTTGTTGTGCTGTCAGAGTAGCTTTAAAGTTCCTTATTAGTAACTCTGCAACTTCTTGTTTCATCCTTGAATTATACAAGGGAACCATCTTTGTTTGTTACGGCCGATGTTATTAGTCCAATGTCAATTACTATCACGTCTTGCTTTTGAGTCTCGTTTTCTTCGAGTTTTGAAGTGAGTCATAACATTTTTACAGAAGATTACAACATATTTTTTAAAGAGGTCTACAGGACATTCTAGAAAGTAAGATCTGAAATTACTTTTTAGATTTAAGAAATCGGAATTGATAAGGGAAAAACTTTGATAGAGATAAAGACACTAATCAGGAACAGACAAAAATTGAAGAAATGAATCCAGGTAGAGAACGGATCTCAATTCAACGACTAAAAAGGTAGAAGAATGCGAGAAAGAAAGATTTTGATAATATGATCTTTCTATCGTTCTAATAAAGCCTCATGTTGTTTTTGAGCTAAAACATATGGTGGAATTACCAATTTGACCTAATTGGAATGTTGTTTACCTGCAAGTTTGTTCGACTTGCTCTCAAACATGCTGAACATTATCAAAAGTCTAGTTGATCCATTTTGAAGCATGCTTCCTTGATGTGAGATTCCCGAAAAGACAAATAAACTTAAGTAGAGAGTAAAGCACTATAGTACAATTTTGAACTGCGCACATGCGACAATAGCTCTGAAGTTGGCTAACCTAACAGCATAGGGATCACGACACTCGATTTGGGATACTCGATCTCGATTAATCGACTGAAATGTTTAAAATATATTCATGACATTCGAATAATCGTCTCGATTCGATCGCAATTTCTCGACTGCTTAGAAGGTGTAGAGTAGTGCAATTTTGAGGTTAAGTTTAAGAAACAAAAATGCTTCCTATTGTTCACCAAGTGTTATTAGAAAGACAACGTCGACGAGAAAATTTGGCCTTAATAAGAGAAAGACGTTTGTTACGACGGAACAGCGGTACTTTTCTTCTTGTGGAAAGACGTTTTTTTTATTGAATTATTTCGCCTCAATAAAGTCTTAGTTCGCGAATTAATAGACACTTTATGACCTCATCTGCACCAAAGACAGGATTTTAGGGGCATATCGATTGATAATATGGTTTTATGTGCCTTACGGTTTTATGCTACTGGTTCATATCAAATATTTTTTTTGTAGTTTTGCCATCAGCAGACAAATTTTCCAGTAGCAAGTTGCGGATAATTTTCAAAAAAACTCAACATGATTTTCCCAGTGTTTTTCATTGGGTTTAAAGGACATCTTACTAATACAATATTTAATCTATGCTCCTTACTTTATCACAACAATTTACAATCACTGGGTAGTGCGTAGTTAGTTAGTAATGCCAATGTCACCCATAGAAAAAAGATGCCACCGAACCTCAATAAAACGAAAAACGAACACGTAATCAATGCAGTCACAGTCACAGGACACATAACGCAACTGACACAGAACATTACATTTGTCTTGGTAGTAGTTCAAATGACTTCAAAAACAGACAATAAACGAAAATCAACTCGATCGAGTTTCATGAATCCTTTTTCGAACGTCGAATTGTACGATTAAGTCGAATCGAGTGTCGTGATCCCTATGCAGATGTCAAAATATCAATCTAACCTAATTAATATCTAAGTCATTAGAGCATCTAACTTTAGAACGTTAAAAAAGCCCAACGCAAAGAAGAGAAAGGAAAACAAGAGCTGAAGAATGCGCAGCAGCAGTTCGATTCGAACAGGGTAGATGGCATTTAACTTGTACTGTAATTTACATAGAATACAAATACAAGTGGTCCTAGCGGTATGCCAAAGTGGATGTTCAGAATGTCTGAAGGTTTATTTATAGGAAACATCTTGGCTTCTTTCATACAAATAACTTTTTAATAGATCTGTAGTTGAATGGGAAAAACCTAAGTGGTGATGAAGTGATAATGCGATCGAAGACTTAATACAGTTAATAACGTATGATCAATAGCATGAAAAATATCATCTGTAACTTTCAACAACACGATAGTACAGCCAAATCCAGGCCGTAAGTCCGATTGACTAGAAGGAAGCAAGAAAAACAGGTTGACGTATTCTCGAATTTGTTTGTCAATCAATTTTGAAATATTTCATATACGAAACAAAGGATACTGATCGGACGGAGGTTAGAAAGACTTTCTAGGTTAGGATTTTTAAGAAGATTGTAGAACCAGTTTAGATTATCGGCTCTGTGATCCAAAATGTACGTAACTAGTCATAGGATCAGCTTATATAATTAACAATTGATCTAAACCGTACGAAAACGATTTCTTGATTTCAGGAACCGTCCTGTTTTACTACTTCAACTGTTTCACCCTAGCAAATTTGTAACCAAGTCGAACAAACCTTTCATATTAAAATTATTTGTTGTTGATGTAATTTTACCTGTCAATATATCTTCTAACGGTATATACAACTCTCGTTCTATCGAGGGATCTTGCTGGCAAGACGCCGGCATTTGACCGGTATTCATTTGGAAGAAATGATGGAAGGGATCGTGTTGTTGGCCGGTTTCGCCTCCATAGAAACCGAAAAAGTCCTGGAAGGGATCAACGTTTCCAAAAAATTGAGCAAAAGTCGCTCTGGGGTCACCGTGAAACGTATACGTGAAATGGCCACCATCGAAACCCGCCCCGCTTGGCACGCCACCTTTTAAGCCCTCTTCGCCGTAAGCGTCGTAGATGTCCCGCTTCTTTTTATCTAAAATTTTTGTGAATTATTAACAAAGTAACATCTAAGCACTGTGGACACCGCTTGATGAATTCGTATCCTTTTAGTTGCTATTTTTTCTTTCCATTTAACTCTCTTCAATACATTAATAATTATCTAGTTTTCCAATTAGTTTAAATTTATTATCATCAATCTACCTGAAAGGACTTCATAAGCTTCGGCGACTTCCTTAAATTTTTCTTCGGCTTCCGGCGATTTATTTTTATCGGGATGAAATTGTAGAGCCAGCTTCCTATAAGCCTTCTTTATTTCATCATCGTTAGCGCCCTTATGAATGCCTAATATTTTGTAATAATCTTTACCCATATTTTAGGTGACAGTTTGACATTAGATTTTTACGTTTCAAAAAAAATTACAAGAACGAAATCAATCAAAAATCACCTAAAGGTAAAGGCGGGGTTGATAGGGTGGATGGTGGAGCTGGATGGTGGCAGGTAAGAGACCAATAAGAAAGAAGAAGAATCTATTAGTAATTAAACGACAGCGGAGGGTCAAGTTTTTATTGGCATTTGGTGTTTTTGTCGGTAATTTCTACATTAGTGCCATTGATATAGAATGAAGTACGAACCGAGGAAAGAAGTAGAGACGACATAATATGCGATATGATAGATGAACGCACTTAGCGTGTCAAAAGTGATGGAAAAGTGTTAATCAAAATAGCGATTTGACGTCAATAATTTTATATTTGAAGATTTACTGAATGAAAATGTTTAACTTATGTTAAGAAAATGTCGCTTCTCCGGAAGAACAATGACAAGTGAAAATTAATGATTCCGCAGAAATTGAAAATTAAACAAAAGTAAATTGTTAAAAAGCCGTTCTTTCACCGGAGAAATGTAATTAGGTATACCATAATTAACCTAAAAATTCGAAATTTTCACTTGCGCCATTTTTCTTCCGGAGAAGCTATATATTAAAATTCCATTCTATTTCAATGCTGTGTTCCCATTTGTTCCATGGTTTTTTCGGCTTTTAAATTGAACGATTTTATTCCAGGAGCCAATCCCACGTTGCGTGACAACGGCCGCGGTTTCAGAGCTGACCAATGGGCCAGATTTTGCGGCCGGTACGTTTGTGCAGACGTTATCGAGAAGCACGCGAGACAGCGGTTACTAGAACGATCCACTTCCTACGGGAATTGGGGCGGGGATAACGAGTTGGGAGCCAGGGTGCTGATGGGGAAAGTAATTCCGATTCCCATCATTCCGCAACAGCAGTCACAAGGTTAGTAGGTTTTTTGTTTTACATTTTCTAGGATTTTCCTAATATCCCGTGCAATAGTAGTTTCCTCCTTTCGATGGTAGTTTCCCCTGATTACCAATAGTAACAATTCTAAAAGTGTTGGCGCCAATTTTACTATTTCCAACTTCATATATGGACAATGATTTAGATAAACTACGTTTTAAAATCTTCCGCGGTGTACCACAGGGATTTCATCCCACTCGTTTTTTTCCACTTTTTCTACACCATTAACGCGCTGTTTGTAAACAAAGACCAACGAAGGCCAAACACACGAAATGAAAACATCGTGTGTGTCGTGTTTACGACGATCATTGATGGAAACCACCGATGAAAACCCTCAATTTCCGTACACAGTTTTAAAGAGCATTAAGCCATTTCGTGTCGTGAAAAATTGAAAGCCATGTCGGAAAATTAGAGCAATTATATAGAGTGCTCGTAGAGGGAACGGTTTTAGTTAAGTTGTTCAGTCACGACATCATTTTCTACATACTTTTTTTGCGTTTGGTAATTATTAGGACTGGAAAAGTGATTCCACATTGTTTATATTGACGGTATAGTATATGAATATTTGTAAAAATATTGTTACCTTCTATTTGAATTATACGATCTAAATTATATTTAATAGGAGCTCGAACTGCTGGTACTGCGTGGATTCATAAATTGACCAGGACAAATATAATCAGAGTAGCTTGACCGGTTCACGGGCCAAGTCTATTTTGCGATAAAATGAAAGATACAATAATAGGTACTATAACGACAAAATAATGTTGAGTGCCACCTAGTTTTTGAGTAAAAACTATGGAAAACTATTTGATTTTACATGCCCTGTTTCATTGAGCCAGTCTCTGGTACCTCACATTATCTGTTACGAGTTCAGACAAATAAAAGAAATTGAGAAAATTTAATACATTTAATAAGAAGAATGCAATGTTTGTTACATTTAACGAAAAGAATGCAATGTTTGTTACACAATGAATTACCGATTAATGACTAATGAATTTTTGAATGAACTTGAATATTAATCAAAATTTTCTTTGTTTCGACCATGTGGCATTACACAGCGGTACTTCCCTGTTAAATATCTCCTGGGTAGATGAAGTCTGTCAGATACTAATTGAGGCTACTTCGACATTACTTCGAGCTACGTGAAGCTACGTGGAAACTTGGAGCTCGGAAACTTGGAAGCTACGTGGAAACTACTTCGGAGCTTCGTCGAAAATTACTTGAGAGCTTCATCGAAATTTACTAGGGAGCTTGGAGTTTGAAGAAGCTACGTAACTTGAAGCTTGTTTGGAGAAGCTACGTTACTTGGAGCTTCGTCAAAAAATTACTTGGAAACTTCGAGCTTGAAGCTTGGAGAAGCTACGTAACTTGGAGTTTGGAACTAATATCTGTAATTTGAAGAATCTGTCCAATACGGTGTGCGACAAATATTTTAAATCTTAAATTTTCAAATTTTATCCAGGTTAGAACGTTCTAGAATCGGCCTACAGGTAGATTTTATCAATTTTTACCTCGATTTCAGAAGTTATAACTTTAATCATCCTTGAAACCATCACTGCTGCTTGAAGTTCAAGTCTAGGGATAGAAGTTTGCTTCAAAGGACTTACCCTAGTCTTAGCAAATACGAGTGATGACTCGTAGGTATTTCCTCGTCTAAAGCGTAGATACACCACGGCAGCGTAAGCTTTTTCGCTAGCGTCGCAAAAACCATGTAATTCTGTGTACTCTGATTTGCTTAAGTTTGTGAAAAGGCCATAACTTCTAGGTATTTGTAAATTAGGAACCAATTTCTGAACTTCAGATATCCATATTTCAATATTAAATTAATGTTGAGGGTATTTCGTCATCCCATCCTATTTTCAGCTCCAAATTTCGTGTAAAATTATTTTGATTGTGATAATATTGCATAGGAACCCCAGTGGATCAAAAATTGACATACAGAATTTAAGAAGCTATCTTTTTGTCGGAATTTTCTTGCCTGTTAATATGTCTTTATCTACTTTCCTCCAATTCATTGTAAATATAAATGTATCGGTGTCTGGTACCCATTTTAAATCTAAAACTTTCTCGATCCTATTTTGCGAGAATTCTTCTATATTTTTCATTGACTGCGCTCTTAAATTCTCTGGAATTTGATTTAAAACATTTGATGAATTGCAAATAAAATTACAGATTTCAAATCCTCCTCTTTTGTGCACTTTTATTACTTGCATTATTAGTTTTACAGCTTCTTCTTCTTCTGTGCTTTTACTGTCTAAGTAGTCGTCCACGTAATGCTTTTCAATGATCGCTCTGCTTGCTTCACCAAATTCTTTATGTTCTAGTGCGTTTTTGTTCTTCACATACTGTGCAAGACAAGGCGAACAAGTAGCCCCAAACGTCATAGCTATCATTTCCATGATATCTGGATCCCTATCTCTGTCTTTTCCTCTCCAGAGGAATCTTTGGGCTGTTCTATCTCCTTTTCTGATTTTTACTTGGTGGAACATTTCTTTAATGTCTCCTGCAAAGGCTATTTTGTTTTGCCTGAACTTCATCAAAACTCCTGTTAGAGGTCGAAGTAAGTCTGGTCCTGATAATAATTCTGTATTCAGGCTTATTTCATTAACTTTTGCTGCTGCATCAAAAACTAACCTTAGCTTGCCTGGTTTATTCGGGTTGACAACCCCGAAATGAGGTAGATACCATAATCTATCGACAGGTTCGCTTAATTCTTCTTTAGATAGCTTCCTTGCATACCCCTTCTGTATATATTCTTCCACTTTCTTACAATATTGATCTGCAAATTTTTCATCTCGATCCATTTTCCTTTCTATGAATGCAATCGACTTAAAGCAGATATTTTATTGTCTGGAAAACGTGGGTCATCTGTTCTGCAAAGCAGTCCTGTTTAAAATCTTTCCCCTACCCTCTTTGTCGTCTTTTCCATTATTTCTTCGCATTTTTCATCTTCTTTTGTCTTAACAGCTTTTTCTATTATCTTTACTCCAAAGTATTCTAAACAAAAAATTTTTTTCATCATGTCATGTAATTCGTCGAACTCGACCTTTTCATAAATATGATATAAGAATTCGTTATCTTTTTTTGTAAAATTATTTCCTACATTTCCATGTATTACCCACCCAAGCAATGTTTTTGTCAGAATTGGTCCATTATTTTCTAACTCTATCATCTTCCTACCTACTATTAAATTGCAGTTATCTTGTCCTAGCAACAATTTAGGATCCTCATAGAAGTAAGAAGAATTTTTCTTAGTTGATCTACGTTAGGGTATATTTTCATTATTTCGTCAATATCGACTGTTTGTCGTGGCAACATTAAGTTCTTAATTGTCCTTTTGGGAGTTTGTACGTTTTGTCTTTGTCTTTATCTGAAACATCTAAACTAACTATTGCTGAGTCGTTATCTTGATGGACAATTCCATTTGTCCATTGGTAGCATATATGCTCTTTCTTACCTTTTAAACCTAACTGATCTGCCAATTCCGAATCAATCAGCGAGATTATCGCATCCTCATCATAAAAGGCCAACGTTGAAATTGTACCATTTGGACCCTTTAATTTTACTGGCAAAATTTTAAGTAATAATTCATTTTTTCATTTTTAATAATATTAACTTTTCTTACCTCCCTCCGCGATTCTTCTCTAACCTTAATATCTGCTTCTGTGTATCGACGTCTGTCCTCTGTACTATTTTCTTCTTGAACCCCAAATAAAGATTTCGGATTTGTATTTTTGGTATTCTCACTAGATTTATGTAGAAGTGGATGGTGTCGTCTAGGGCAGCTATTGAGTTCACATGGTTTTTTCCTATAACAATTCGATTTGAAATGATTGGACCTTAAACATGTTATGCAAAGTTTATTGTCAGTCACTATTTTCCATCTTTCATCACATGACATTTCCAAAAATAAGTTACAAGAGTCTATACTATGAGAATGATTACATAACTTATATTTTCGTTCCCCCGTTTTCTTGTTTATGGCTAAACCAGTTTCTTTTTTTTTTCTAAACCCGGAGTGATTTCCATTCTGGGTTCTCATCTCTTCGGTTTTAGTCCATGGACTGTCAATAAGACAAGAGATTTTTGCTTTGGTTTTCAGCCAATTTGAGAAATCTTTTAAACTAGCAAAATTATGTAGCTGCATAGCTACTTCTCCCCAATCCATTTTCAGATACATGGGCAACTTTCTCACCAACTCTTCAAGTAACTGTGGGTTATTCATGTGACCTATAGCGTCAGTAACTTCCATCGTTGTGGTTAAATTTTGAACTACATTTGAAAAGGCAATCATAGCTTCAGACTTACCTTTCCTAATGGGTGGCGTTTTCCTAGCTTTTTCCGCTAACATTGAAATTATAATATCAGGCCTACCAAATGTCATTTCTAATGTACCAATTATGTCGCTTAAATTATTAGGTGAGATTAACAACGGTTTAACTGCATCTCTAGCTTTGCCTCTAAGACACTTTTGAATTCTTACCGAATTTTCGTCGTCTGGATCCCTTGAAAAGGTAGGTAAATCTTTATTAGTTTGTCTAATAAAATATGATTTTAATGGATGTCTATGTTCTAGAGTAACATTATTTTCGGACTTATCTTTTTTCTCCATGTCTTGATTTAACCAATTGACCACTTTGCTTTTTCCATCGGTTTCCTCAACTGGCAAAAAATCCCGATCATTAAGTTCTCTTCCGAGTTGACTACCAACTTGACTCATTTTCATTTCAACTTCCAATATTTCTTTTTCTCTTTGGAATCGCTTTTCTCTTGCTAATTTCTCTTCAGCTTCCATTTTATCTTCGATCATAGCCATTTTCTTGGCCGCTTCCAATCGAATTTCTAATAAAGACCTGGAAGACGTAGTTTTCGATTTCGTATTACTTGTCACTGACGTTGTCAAAAAAATTTTTTCTTTTCCTCTGAAAATTACGGATTCTGTTCTTCGTGCTTCTTTTTCAGGTATATTGTCTACCTCTCCCGCAGCTTCTGCTTGTCCAGCATCTTGTTCATCTCGACTCTTTCTTCGTGACTGTCTGGCACTGTCCCTGATTACAATTTTCAACTTTTCAACTTTCATTCTCCATAGCGTAATTCCTCTAGTTTGCTCGAAGGACCAGTGTAAAAACCGTCTTGTTCTTGGTTTCAATAAAATTTTCTTAAATTAAAGAACTGACTTTTTTGTATTTTTTATTAATCAATCTGACATAAAAATTCCTTCTACCATGTATTTTTCAATAACAAAATTAAAAAATAAATAATTTTAACAACTTCAATAAAGTAACTTTAACAATTATTATTATTATTGTCTGTTCCAGGTCTGAAATCGAAACTTAGAAGGGTATTCCGCACGTCTTCCAGTCCGACACAAGACACCTTCTCGAGCGCCAGACTGGTGACGCAACTGACGTCGGCCGCTCTATGCGCCAGCTCCCCCGTTCTTCCATCCGGCCCCACCTGCCCTCCAGTGGTCAAATCGCTCATCCGCCCGCTTACGGTGCCCCGGTTGCAGATCACGCTCGTGAACAACAACGCCGACCTCCCCAACAATAATAACAACAACGGCGTCGCTAAGAGTCAGAAGGGTAACGCGCACGTTTCTGCGACAGAGGGTAAGGAAGAAGCGCCTACGGGAGTTATCAAGCCTGCTAGGAGTAAGAAGAAAAAATAGCAAGAGTGTTATCTCTGCGCGTGGTAGATAGAGCGAATTTTTTGAAGACTGTTTTGTCTGATATATATCTTAGGAAATTATGTTTATTTTCAAAGCGTATGTATGTAATTTGAGTTTTTGAAAGAGTTACCGACTTTTGTAAATATTTCTTATTCATATTTCCTAATATTTATTCTTAAATTCATTTTTAAATACTTAATATTTATTGGTTACATTTTAGAACAAATGCTTTCTATTGGACTTTTATTTAAAGAGAATAGATTTTAAAAGGTCTGTAATATTATAAGATCATAACCTAGGTGTTTGAATGATTTGTAAAAACTCAGTTTTTCCAACTTTCTAGAATCTTTACTCAACAATTTTTCTTCCCGTTTTATTCTGAAATATTCTGAAATTGACGCGACAGTAAAATAATCAGTTTATGAATCAGGTCTTTATGCCTTACTTTGTCGGAGGTCTAAGCTTCTTTTAAAACTATTTTCTCTTCTAGGGATTTCTCGATGATATCTGTGATTCTGAGTTTAATCGATGGTCAAGTTTTTTCTTTGGAGAAGACACACATAGGTTTCAATCTCTTAAAAAGAAATGTTTGGTATCATTATAACTTTCGCCACCTTCCACACCTTTGATACGTTCTTTAGACTAAAGGACACATCGATGAGTTTTGACATTTTGAGGACGCATTTTTAAAGTTTTCTCTGTGATGAGGTCCACTTTATATCCTTTAAATTTGACAAATGGCTTTTTATTTGGTAAAATGTGTTTCAACAATGTCACGCAAACGTAATAGAGAACATCGTCGGCTTCGTATAACACTATATTAGATATTGTTTTCTATTTTGTTAAGCGGGCTGTTAAACATATATGAGGGGGTCAGTGGAAAAGTGGTATAAGTGACTTTTTTATCAAAATTAGTCTGCAAAGGTAATGTACCATTTCGTTTAAACAAAAATTGGTACAAGTGAAAATTGTGCTTGATAGAGACATCTTACGTATAGTAGATTTACCTCTATAATAAAATCGCAGTTTCCTTAGTGGATAAGTGGGACAAATGCACTTGGACCACTTTTAAATTTAAAATATCATTATTACCTTAGAACTCTCTGGACTTATAATTTTGCAATACCTAACTTGAGTAACAGAAAAAAGCTAAGATGTATATACATGGCATGAAGCTCTCGAAACTAGAAGGTTGTCAGAAGTAGCGCCATGTCTGTTAAAGTTTATTAAAGAGCTACCAAAAGATGTCACAAAAATAGTGGCCTTCAGCGATTCATGTGGAGGCCAAAATAAAAATTATAAGATATTGCAATGTTGGATGTATATTGTGATAAATATTTGGAGCCTGGGTACACATATATGGAGTGCGATGAAGATTTTGGTGTTATTGAAAAGCATAAACGTTATATCCTCTATGTTTTCCTTCCCCGCGAGTGGACAACTGCGATATCTGAGAGCTGTAGAAATTTTAATGTTTATAAAATGACATCATTTGGAGACTGACGGCATTAAACAAAGTGCAAAACACTTTGACGATGGACGTGATTTTCGATGGAGACCACTTAGATGGATTAGGGTCAGAAAGGCTTCTCCATTTCAAATGAAATTTAAAGAAACCCTTTCTGAGGATAACTTTTATATCGTTGCCCTAATATTCATCTCAGTTTTGGAAAATTTGACAGGAGAGAAGAAAAATGTTATTTTTTAACAAATACATTATTATTTTTATTCACATCTAACACATATAACTTTGAATGTAACACAAACAAAAATTATTTCCATGCGTTACTCTTTTAAACAAAAGTGTGGAGCTAGGTAAATTTCTCTTTGGCAACTGTCAAATCAGAAATCGGCAAATTTATATTATTTTAATTTAAAATTAACTGGTTAAGTAGACACTCAGAAGTTCTGTCAGAAGGTGACCTAGATGTTATTCTAATAGATGGTATCTAAATCCTATTTTAGCAAAAAAGTGGAGTTAGGCACTTTTCTTATTAGGGCGAAGATATAGTTAACTGGAAGTCCACACAGGTCGGAAGACCACCACGTAGTATAATGCAACTAAAACGGAGACCGAAGTATTACATAACAAACACACATTTTTATCTTTAACTTCTGTAAAAAAGTATTGTTCTTCCCATTCCGAATGAAAATGGTATGTCTTTACCTTCTTACAACTGCTTGCCATATTATTTTTTGTTGTTCTCTACTAACCCAACCGCTGGACGTTGGTTACGTGTTCAGTTTTAAACTAAGCGCAATGTCGCCACGCCTTGCGTATTTATCCCGTTCAAAGCAATCCTGATCGTTCTCGAACACTAACGCACTGGTCCGGCTGGTCGGTTCTAGCCGATTCTAGCTTGATGGCGTCAGCGGCAGATCGCTCACCGCAACGTTGCCGCTGTTTATGTTTAATATTATGACAATTAGATTTTTTTGTGGAATTTTCGGAAGCTTCTCTGATTTTTGCAGTTTGTATTTTTTAAATTAAAATCGTTGTGAGAGCTACCAGAATTGCCTCAGCGAGCTACCGGTAGCTCGCGATCGACAGGTTGGCAACCACTGCTCTAGTAAATTGACCAATCAGAGATGCATTCAGTCACATGACTAGATTTACCCGGGAATCTGATCTCGCATTAAAAATTAATATATTTTTTGTTATAAAAAAAATCCAATTGATTTGACGTGTAATTTTTAGAGGTGATAAGTACGACTGGATATTAGCAAATGCGTTTAAAACTCGTGTAAGTACTTTTACTAAATATAAAAAATAAATCTATTTTATATTTCAGGTTTCTTAACTATCTATATATTTATCGTTAGTTCGAAAATTTCTTAATTATTGTACATTGAAATTTCTATAATTATTATTATCGTTATGTGATACTATTTTAATCCCTGTGGGAGGAACAAAGATATTGGAAATTATTAATATATTATCGATGTAATAAAAATACTTGATAAACATTTAATGTTTTAGGAAATAAATATTGCGATTAGAATTATTTTTAGTACAAAATTATTTATTATCTATAATATTAATCTGTCTATAATTTAACAAAATAAATAATTCTGTTTTATTTATTTTAAAAGAATAGAATGTTTACTAAATAATTATATTTCCTTTTGTATCTTTAAAGTTATAAAAAAACTAGCAATACTATTTATACCAACTTGTATTGTAATAAAGCAAATTTATTGGGAACCAAAATACGCAACTTATCCAATATGGTGCTAAATGTATAAAAAAATAATCTGTAAGCCTTATACTACTTATTAAATTAAATAATAAGTTTATCTATAAAATTATTTGATGTAATAAATTTTTCCCTGCATTAATCAACGTTGTTTTTTTTTTAATACCCACCCAAAAAATTAATAAGAACTAACAAATATTTTTTGTTAAACACAAAAATTTATATTAAAATTAACGAAAATTCAACTTGTATCGAAATAATTCTAATTTCGATTTAGTAGAGACATATCTATCTTTCAATAGCCGAACTTTACAATTTCTACTTATTCTACTATTCGAATCAATGTATATACAATACTTATGAGGCGATCTCTTAAAAAATAAACGGATTCAAATAAAACGAGCGTGTGAGCCACATGTTGCCCCTACATGGTGAAATAACCATTTTAAGCATTTAATAAACATTTTTTTGTATTTATTCAATTGAGTTTTAATTTTTAATTACCACAATGGACTTTAAATAAAAAATGTTTTATCACCAGAAGAAAATTAAAAAAAATGGAGAAAAATTTGTAAAATATATAAATCGACAAATATAGATTTTCCCCTTAATGTTTTTTAATTTTTTGACATTCCTGCGTCCGTCAACTTCTATGCCGACAAAGATTTAAATAAAACAACATTCTTATGGAAAAAATAAATAATGTATTTTCAACTTTTATACAATTATTACAATAAATGGTAGTTTCGAGTTCCGATCATATTTGTACAAGTGAAAAATAAAATACAATAAATTAATAATAGAACTTCATAAATATACAATAATAACCATATTATTGATAATAGTAATAATTACAATGAATAATTCGCAGTAGTTCCTGTTTTGTCCGCATTTTTAATCAGTTTAATTAGTTTAACTAACAGGTAATTAATGTAGCTTAGTTTTAACAGAAAAACAAATTCGACTACATAAAATCATTATCCTCGTCATCTGTACCGTCCTCCTCCAAATTCGTCCCGCGGTGGGACAGTAGACTCGAGGAACTGCAGTTACGTAACCTAAACAAAATAGACCCTTAGAAAAACAAGAAAAAACGAAAAAGAAGAATATACAAAACGACGATAGACTGTAAAGCGCAATAAAGCAGACCGAACGTATATACAAAATCGACAGAGGAAATGAACTAGAAAAGGACGAGAGGGAATTAAAAGAAAGGAAAAAGGAAAGGAAGAAAAAAAAAATAAAGAAGAAAAGGAAAATGAATGGAGAATGAATTTAAAAAAAGGAAGAATAGAAGGAAAACGATTATAAAGTAGAATAAAGCAAGAAGTAAAATAAAGGAGAATAAAGAAAGAAGAATGGTAAACAAGGAGAAAAAAGAAGGAGCACACTGAAAAATAGAAAATAAATGACTATAAAGGAGAATAAAGAGGGAATATAAAGGAGAATGAAAAAGGAAAATAAAGGAGAATAAAGAAGGAAAATAAAGAGGGAAAATAAAAAAGAAAAATAAAAAAAGGAAAATAAGGAAGAATAAAGAAAGATGAAAAATAAAGAAGGAAAACAAAGAAGGAGAATAAAAAGAAAAAATAAAGAAGCAATAAGATATAATTACAAAAAATTAAAAATCAAATTAATGAATATGTATAAAACACTGACCAAATAGATAAATGAAAAGAGAAAATGAAAAAAAGAGAAGAAAGGGAAAGAAAGAAAAGAAACGGATAGAAGAGGGATACGAATAAAAGAATGAGGTGTGAATATCAAAAAAATATAAAACATGAAAAGACTCGAAGAGCTGCAGTTACCTAACCTTAACAAAATCAACCCACAAAAAACAAAAAAAATAAAATAAAAGGAGTAAACAAATCGACGATACACCATAAAGCACAATAAAGCAGATCGAACGTATATACTAAATAGATAGGAAATAAACGAAAAAAGGACGAGAGAAAGGAAGAAGAAAAGAAAAATAAAGAAGAATAAAAGGAAAAGAAAAACAAAGAAAGGGTCGAGAGCACTAAAGAAAGACAAAAACCAAATCAAATTGATGAACAAATATAAAACAATGGCAAAATAGGAGTATGGAAACTGAAAAGAGGAGGTGTTGAAAATAAACAAGAAAAGGAATGAAAAAGAAATTTAAGATGGAACAGAAAGAAAAGAGGGATAGTATAAAAGAACGAAGGAAATTCCAAATAACATTGACGAAAAAATATAAAACGCTGCTTAAACAGATATAAAAGAAAGGAGTAAAAGTAAAAGTAGAAATAGGGGAGAAAATGAACTAGGAGTAGGATAAGTACAAAAGAAAAACCAAATCGAATGAATGACCAAATATAAATATTGAGAATTGAGAGCTGAGAGAAGAATGTATGTGTGCCGGCGAGTCAGAATCTGATTGACTTCAAATCTACAAATTCGACTGTCATAGCTGTGTTTCGGTAGTCCAATTGGTAGAGAAGCCGAGGGATTAATTCGGAGGTACCAGATTCGATCCCTGGCCGATACACTCGTTGTTTATTTTCTTTGGATTGTTTTTAATTTGGGGATGTGGAGATACATTTCTTAATTTCATAGAGGAATTGGGGATATTTTCCACATTGCCAAAAATTACAAATATAAATAAAAATATATAATATATAAAAACAATGATGCTGTTTTCTTACCTTCGAAATAAATGTTTCATGCATTTTTAATTGAGCAATATGTTTATAAAGCCAAAGCTCCGCATTTCCCAAAAACAATACTCTGCTTTACTTGAAAGACGATAGGTTATAGCCATGCAACTAAATATCAAAGAAACACATTATAATGTAATAATTTCGCAATATACGCATACAAAAAAAAAATAAAATAATCTTCAATAACGTAAAAATAAAAACACAAAAATAAAATATAAATAAATTCTGCAGCGATTAGAAAAATATTTTGATAATCAAATAATGTCTAGACTTCTATTAGTTTAACATAAGAAAGAATGATATGAATGTATTTAACGTAATATCTGTCATTAGTGTCATAATTCAGTAAATAGTATCATACGTCAATAAATAATGTCATAAGTCAATAAATAGGGTCATAAGTCAATAAATAGGGTCATAAGTCAATAAATAGGGTCATAAGTCAATAAATAGGGTCATAAGTCAATAAATAATAGCATACGTCAATAAATAGTGTCATAAGTCAATAAATAAGTTAACAAATAGTGACATAATCCAATAAATAATGTCATAATTCAATAAATAGTGTCATAAGTCAATAAATAACACAGGTCAACAAAAATAAAAAATAAATTATTGGTGCCGGAAATCCAAGAACTGATTTTAGATATATTAAATGTGCTCACTCCAAAACAGTCAGCAGATTTTTTTTTATCAGCTCTAGTTTTTGAGATATAGGCTATTAAAAGGTAAAAATAAATAAATATCTCTTTAAAGTTCAAAAGAAAAATTTCTTTCTCAAAATTAGAGTCAAATTAGCCAAATAAATACCTGGAATTGTCCCTAAACCAACCTTCTTATACTTGATTAACCCTCATTACTCAATCGTAAGCACTAATTACTTATTTTATACTTGGAATTGTCTATGATCCAATCTTCCCATACCTGCTTAATCCCCTCTAATAAATCTCAGAAACATAGTACCTTCTGTCTACCTTTACCCTTCTCGTTTTATTATATTATTGAGTTTTTGCAAGTAAAGTTGAGCTATCATTTTCGTCTTTTTATAGTGTTAAAACTAAAAGAATGGCATCCACAAGCAGACGTTGCTGTGTAAACCATCCAGATGTTTTTTTGTTATGTATGTGGAGAAAACACTTTGAAAGAAAATAGAAAAACTATTTCTGACTCTATCAAAATGGGGCTATCTTGCCTACTTTGGCGTTCATTTGGGAGACCAGGATAAATACTGAGATCCACATGTGTTGAACATTTGCGACATTGGACAATTGAAAAGAGGTAGTGCCTAAAGTTTGGTGTACTAATGGTTTGGAGGGAACGATGAAACCATTATGATGACTGCTATTTTTGCCTCGTTAATATTAAAGGCATGATTAGGAATAATAGACACAAATGGACCTGTACTGCACTCCGAAGAAATACCCATTCCATCCTTCACAAGTCTTCCTGAACTCCCAAAAGATACAGAAACATCAACGTCTGATGAAGTTCAAAAAATTAAATCAGAAAACGACAGCGAATTTGAAGCTCAAACACGAAACATCGTTCTGCGGCGTGAAAGATGGCTTGAGTGCTTAAGTAACAAATTTCCGAAGACAAGTCTGTATTTTGTAAATAAACCATGTAATAAAATTAACATCGTTTCAGTAGTGTTTTAAAGTAAAGTGTGTAATTAGGTCCTTCCATCCCTATGGATTGCACAGGTATTTCCAACATTATTTAATACAGTTCACAATTTGCCAAGGTCCGTATGTCGGTCCTAGTTTGTTTATTTGAGCGGAAACACCGTCAATCTGAGACAGCTGATTGTATTAGCTCGTGTGTATTAGAAACACTATTAGCCAGCGACTTATGGGGTTTCTAAAGTAAAGCAGATTTTGACGTTTGAAAATTTAATACAAGGAGTGCTACGACTAATGGGATTTCTCGTTGGAATGTGCACCGAAGTGTTAGCAATAAGAATCCGCCATTTTTGGAATATGTTAAATTTGTAACTTATTGGCTTTCTCAAATGACCGATTCAATTGTTCTGGGTACTTGTCATAAGTTTCCTGGGATTAGCATATCAAAACTAAAAGCTGGTATATTTGATAGTCCTTAAATAAGACAACTTATTAAATATCCACAATTTACCACATCAATGAATGAGACTGAATCTAACGCTTGGTGTTCATTTGTTCAAGTAGTACCAAATTTTCTTAGGATTCATAAAGCAGATAATTACATAGAATTACATTCAAATTTTAATATTCTCGTAACATGAGCATAAAAGTTCACTGCCTCCACAACCACCTAGATTGCTTTCCAGAAAATTTAGGTGATTGTAGGGAAGAAAGATTCCATCAGGACATTAAAACTATGGAAGATCGATGTCAAGGACGATGGTATAGCCACATGATGGCCGACTACTGTTGGAGCCTTCAGCGAGACTTCCCTAGTAAACTCCATGCTAGAAAGTCATATAAAAGGTCAATTTTAGGTTATAAGTGACTAATGTGAGTATAAATGTATATGAATCTACTTTTTGTAATAAATACTTAACTCTTTTTTTTTTGTAAATATTGTCTATTTTAAAAACTAGATTTGATGGCTATTTTGGATTATGCACCCAAAAATTACCCAGGAACAGTTAAAAAATCGGTGGAACCAAAATGTCTATTGGCTTGTATAACAGCATACATCAATAAATAATGTAATACGTCAATAAACAGTCATGAGCAATAAACAATGTCATGTCATTAAATAGTGTCATAAGGCTATAAATAGTGTCATAAGTCTATAAATAGTGTCATAAGTCTATAGTGTCATAAGTCTATAGTGTCATAAGTCTATAAATAGTGTCATAAATATAAATAGTTTCATAAGTCTATAAATAGTGTCATAAGTCTATAAATAATGTCATCTCTCATTAGTTGCAACTGTTATTAATGGCATCTGTCATTTTTAACGACCGTCGCCATCAATAATTGGGAAGTGTTAAATCAAAATATAATTTTTACAGGTGGCTCTACTTACACTTTTTTAAACCTTTGTTAGTGGTCATAAAATATGTCATATTGACAGGTTGTTCATTTTTTTTTCATTTCTTTGGAATATTTAATGACCAAATTTACTTATTTTTATTACAAAATTATCATTAATAGAAATTTTCTTTTCGTTTTTTTTTTTTTTCAATATTTTGTGTCAAATAAAAATCATAAAAATTTCACTTTGACAGTTTGCTCCATTTACACTTTTAAAAACGGTGTAAATGGTCATGAAATATAACATATTGACAGTTGCTCAATGTTTTCATTTCTCTCGAATCTTTAATAACATAATTATAACAAAAGAAATTTCACAAAAATGTCACTTTGCTACTTTCGATTGTTTTAGATATCTCTATGTACACTGTAATATTAAAATTTGGATTCAAACAAAAACTAAAACGTAAAAATGTCATCCGTTTACTTTTTTAAACTGTGCAATGATCATAAAATATGTCATATTGACAGACTGGTCAATTTTTATTTCTTTCGATTGATTATTTAATAATTTTAATTTTGTTACAAAATTATCATTATAAGAAGTTTAACTCAAGCAGGTCGCTAAATGTTCTCTTCTTGTTTCTTAACATATTTTTTAGACATCTCTATAAACAATGTATATTTTAAATTTTCGCCATTTTGTCATTTTCTGGACATCCCAATACACAACGTACGTTGAAATTGTAATTCAAACGAAGAAAATTATAAAAATGTCATTTTGACAGGACGCAACATTTTTCTTTTCGCCTTTTTGATATTTTTTAATACATATTTATAAATAATGCATATTAAAATTCATATTAAATCAAAAGAAATCACAAAAATGTCATTTTGACAGGTCGCTAAATTTTCTTTATTGTCTGTTTTGTTTTTTTAGACATATTTAGGAACAATATAATTCACCTGTTTTTATAAAAATCTATGTACAATCTACATTAAAATTGACATTTAAACGTAAAAATCGTAAAAATGTCACTTTGACAGATCGCAAAATTTTCTCTTTTCTAATTTTTAGACATCCCTATTAACAACGTTCATTAAAATTGTTGTTTAAACAAAAAAATCGTAAAAATGTCACTTTGACAAGACGACAAATTTTCTCGTTTCGCCTCTATATACACTCTACATACACTGAAAAAATTGTCATAACGAAAAAAAAAAATTTTTTCTCTTCGTCTTTCAAACGAAAATCAAACGTAAAAATGTCAATTTGACAGGTCTAAATTCATGTCAATGTCACTCTCGCCGTCCTAGATTTTTTGGATAAGAAATTCAACGATTCTTAGAGCTGTTTTCCGATTAAGCCAACCCAAAACAATATTTTTTTTGTGGTGTGATTGTCAACAAAAATTTCAATTTTGAATAATTTTTTTTGATTTTATGCTACCGGTTCAAAAATATGCGTAAAATGTCAAAGAATGTAATAACAAAAAAAAATGGAAATGAATCATGAAAAACGCTGACGAAAAAAATTTACGAATACTTACACAGTCATTTTCATCAAATTGCGCCATTTCCTCACCACCGTCCTCCTTTTCCATACTACCAATAAAAGCAGAAGAAATTTTTAGAAAACTTATTAGTAAGAAGAATCCAATTAAATTATTTTCTACTATTTCTCGTATAAATCTCAACAACCAACACCACTACATACAAAATTAAATTTAAATTATCGACCCATTTTAAACCGCAAATGTAAAACATCAAAATATATTTTGTCGGTCTTCGACATGAGTTGTCATCTATCATTTATATTTGAAAGCATTTACGTGAAACTGATATAAAAAGAAACAATTTTGACATAAAATGAAAAAATACATTAAAAATCCCGAAGATGTTTACGTTTGACATTTTCGGAACAAGTAGAAAAATAAAAATCCTCCCTTAACCTTAACCAAATCAAATTTACACAACGCAAGACCATTTATGAAGTAAATATCTACAGTATTTTCAAATATGAAGATAAAACAAGAATTTACATTGAAAGTCTCATTCAAAGTCGCAAAATGTTCTCATATTGCCTCTTTAACAGGTTTTAGAAATCTCCATAAACAAAGTACTTTAAAATGATTATTTAAATGAAAAAATGTCTCTCTGACAGATCGCTAAATTTTCTCTTTTAGTCTTTGATATTTTCTGGACATCTCTATGAGCAACGTACACTGAAATTGTCATTTAAACGAAAAAAATCGTAATGATGTCATTTTGATAGTTCGCAAAATTTTCTCAAATTGCCTCTTTGATAAGTTTTAGAAATCTCTATAAACAGCGTATATTGAAATTGTCAATTAAAGAAAAACCTCATAAAGATGTCCCTTTAACAGGTGGCAAAATTTTCTCTTTGCGCCTATTTGATATTTCTCAGATATCTTTATTAATAACGTAGACTGCAGTAATTGTCATTTAAACGAAAAAAATCGTTACTTTGACAGGTGGATAAATTGTTTCCTTTTGTATTTTTGGTATTTTCAGGACCTCTCTATTACAAATTACACTGAAATTGTTAATTGAACGAAAAAAATCTTAAAATTTTTATGAAAAATCATTCAAAAGGAAAAAAACAGTAAAAATGTAATTAAGGCAGGTCGCAAAAAATCGTAAAAATGTTACTTTGAGAGGTTACAAAATTTTCTCTTATCGCTTTCATATTTTTGGGACATCTCTATGAACAACATACATTGAAATTGTCATTTAAACGAAAAAAATCGAAAAAACGTCACTTTGACAGGTCTGAACATTTTCTCTTTTCGCCTCCTCGATATTTTTTAAATCTATGAAAAATCATTTAAACCTAAAAAAATTGTAAAAATGTCACTTTGACAGGTTGCCAAATTTTATATTTTCGCCTTTTGATATTTTCCATTACACACCACATACAGCATTAAATTAATAAATGAGCCATTTTGGACAGCAAATGTAAAACTTCAAAAAATATTTGTCGGCCTTTGACAAGAGTCGTCTGTCATTTATATTTGTCAGCATTTACATCAAATTAGATTCTTTTTGTTCATCCAACTGGTGTAGGAATGAGCTACACCAACGGACACTACACTACACCTTCTTCCTGTTGGCGATGTGGATATGGATGTGGATATTTTCTCCACCATTTATTTAGCAACTCAATATGTATATAAGGAATAAGAAGGAAGTAAACTAGGTAAATAAGGCGGTGTTATTGACACTGGTGCACACTGCACCAACAGAGAACAAAAGAATTTATTGATATAAAAAGAAACAATTTTGACGTTTTGTTTTACCAGACAAAATTTTATATTGCATAACATGTAAAGGAACATTAAAGCAGGAGATTTTGACGTTTGACACGGTATTTTGACGTTTGACATTTGCGGAACAAGTAGAAAAATAAAAATCTTCAACCTCAACCAAATTAAATGTACCCAAGATAAGACCATTTTTGAAGTAAACATCGACAGTATTTTCAAATATAAAGATAAAAAAACAAACTGTCAAATTCTCTAAAAAAAAAAAACCTTTTTCCCTTACCTGGTATGAAGATGCTGCAACTGCAGCTGGAAATTATCGACCTGTTCCTGCAACTCATCGTTACTCCTCTGCATCTTCCTGATATTGTTCATGGCGTTATCCAATTCATCCTCAGCAACGGCTAAATCCCGTTTCAACTCCTCCACTCTGCTTCTCAACTTCTTTACTTCGGTCTCGTACTGTTCGGCTCTCCTGACAGCGTGCGCCAGCTCCGTCATTTTGTCCTGCACCATTTTCTTCAACTTGTTCTGCGAGTGCTTCAAATCCGCTATTTCCTGATTAAATAGAAGAAATTTCACAAAAATGTCACTTTGACAGAACGAAAAAATTACCTTTTTCCGCAACTTTCGATATATTTTTTAGACATATCTACGAACAATGAAAAAATCGTAAAAATGTCGCAAAATTTTCTGCATTCCTAGATCGAAAGGCTTACCTTATTTTTATCGACCAATTCCTGTTGGAGATGCCTGATTTCGGCGTCCGAATTCGTCACCGGCCGACCCTTGCGCTCTATCCGCTCCTGCATGTCCCTGAGTTCACTGCGTAGCTTCTTGTTGTCTCTTTCTATCGCTAATTTCTCCGTTTCCAATCGTTCTCGCTTACCCCATTCGGCCGCGTTTTCGGCCTGCAGCCTTTCCAACTAAAATCATCCTGTATAAACGATTTATGGAGCAGAACTATCGAAACTTACCTCAGCCCTTAAATCGTTCAATCTTTTATCCATTCCTTCCCTATTACTCGCCTCGTCTTGTAAATCGCATTTGATCGACTGCAGTTCTTTTTGATGTTGATCCTGCAACATCAGGATATCCCGCATCGTATCCTGTCGAGATTCCTTTAATTCGTCGCACTTATCCTTCGCTTCTTGCAGCTCTGTGTTCAGTCTTTCGATGTTGCGATGGAGGTGCGATTTCTCGCTAAAATTATAATAAGATTTCTACAGATGAAATTTAAAAAAATAGAAAGGCCGACAATAAAAGAACGAAAACAAAAGATCGACAAATGTTTTGAATTTTTTGTTTTCGATTTATTGAATTTCAGTCTTTTGTTTTCGATCTATATGGTAGGAAAAAATCTAAACACAAGAGATAGAAAACAAAAAATCGATAGATTTCATATAAATAAGAATTTCCTTGGTTTAGGTCATATTATTTTTATTTTTTATAATTTAAGCACAAGCCAGAAAATTATCCTTATTTTTTATTTTTTTTTTATTTTCTAAATTTGGTGTCATCGGCATCGACTACTGAGGCCATTAGCCTCGTGTTATGTGTAGGCTTTGTTACTATTTCCCAGCGCCACTTTAGGAACAGCACTGTTAATTAGAACCCAACAGTGAATGGTCGAGTGAGGAATCCTACCAAGGCATCAGAATTAATTTTAAATAATTAAATTAAATGAAAAAATTCCGGCCGTGGGATTCGAACCTGGGACCCTTGGATCCACAGGCACCACTGAGCCACCCGCCCCCTAATAAAAATTATCCTTATTAAAAAAACAAAAAACAAAAAAAAAAGAAGGAACATGTATTGGATTTTGTGTTTTCGATTTATTGTATTTCAGTCTTTTATTTTCGATCTTTTTGCTAGACCTCTACGAAAAAGATCTAGACACAAAAGATCGATCGATTATATTTTTTATGTTTTCGATATTTTGTGTTTTCGAACTTGCACTTATTCAAATCTTTATGACTGCTAAAACTTGATTCGAAATATAAAAAAATATTTTTAATTTATCGTTAAAGTTGATACTTTAATTAGTTCAATCATTACATACTTTTTTCTAAAATGATAATACGATTATAGGAATAGTTCGAAATACAAAAGATCGAGACATAAAAGAATGATCATTTGTATTTTTATATTTTTGTTTTCGATTTTACATGCACTCAAAGCTTTGACTGCTAAAAATTGATTCAAAATAAAAAAAATCATTTTTAACTCATACTGAAAGTCAATACTTTAAAAAAATTGACACACGCTTCTGTGATTAATACGTTCAATCATTGAGCACGTTTTTTTTTGTCCAAAAATGATAATACGACTCTAAGAAACAGATCGAAATACAAAAGATCGATTATGTTTTTATATTTTTTGTTTTCGATCTTTTGCGTTTTCGATTTTATGCTGTACTTGACGGACTTCTATTTTTTTTTATAAAAACACCGCATTAATAAGGAATAAAATCAAAATGGCGTAATTTTAGCTGCATTGGAAAAACTTACATGAAGAAAAATTCAATATCTAGTAAACTGCGCGACTTACGAAAAAAAAAAGCCATAACCTTTTTTGTAGGTTATTAAATTTCCTATGTTTGTCGTTCTAAACTTATTTTCTAAAATTATTATTTCACAAGTTACAGCGAGTTACAACTTTCAGTAAATTTAAAATGGATTCGCTTTTTAATAAAAATACTGCATTTTTTTCAGTTTAAATACAAAATGGCGTAATTATAGCTGCATTGGATAAACTAACATAAAAAAATTCTATATCTAGTAAACTGCGCGTCTTATTAAATTTCCTATCTTTTTTGTTGAGCACAAAATTAATTTTTGCGAGTCACAGCACTTTAAATGCTTAAAAACGATACGTTCAAAAATATTTATTGCTATAACAAACATTTTTGATTCGTATCAAATTCATCAAAAACTAATAAAATAGTATGCACACTTACTCTCTTTCTATCTGTAAAGTCTTTGTAGCCTCTTCTAACCTCAATTGCAGCATCGACAACTTTTGAAGAACGTACTCCTCTTCGAAATCGCCCCTTTCCCCACCCATTTTCTCCGTTCCATTTATTTCCACCTCGCCAGTTTCGCTTCTTTTATCTCCGCAAGGCTTCGGAACAGCTCCTTGGAGAACATACTCCTCTATGGTGCTGTCGAAGCTCTGTTCAACGGTACTGTCGCATTCTGGGTTCGATTGCGACGAACAAACTCCATTTTCACGCTCTTTCGTCGGCGAGCTGTGGCTGAACACGAAATCTTTGAGGGGGTCGTCGCTCAAAGCCTCTAATATGTGCGTATCGAACTGACCGGCGTGCTTGAGAAGCAGAATGTGGATTTTTTCTATTTCTTTTTTAAGTTGATCGTTCTAAAAGTCAATAGTTCGAAACTTAAACTTCTAGGACTATATTGGATTATTCAGTAAAAAATTTTCATCCTTTAAATGTATTTGTGAGTGTGAGGTTAGTGGGAAGAGGACATGCCAAAAGGAAACATTAACTTCTTAATTTGCCGACGTTTCAATTAAAATCCCATGTAGTGTACAAAATTTACTGTGAAGGCTGTGAAAATGCTACATTGGTATTACAAAACAATATCTTAAACAGAATATACCATCATAAATATGACTGTCGGGGAAAAAAAAAGAAAATAAGGTAGAAAAGACCGCATTAGATTTACATCATTTTAATCAATCGCACAAATTTGAATTTGACAACGTTAAAATTGTTGATAAAGAATCCAATTATTACAAAAGAACAATTAGTGAAATGATACACATATCTCTAAACGACACAGTAAATTTAAGAATGGATACTGCCAATTTAAGTATTTGCTATCGTAACCTATTCAATATATACAAGTCCTAATGAACCGGACTAAAACAATAAGCCGTTAAAATACTAACTATACCTACCGTACTATTAAATAAAAAACATACAAATGAATTTCTTCGTCCACCTACAATTTTACCTGTCACAATATTTTGATTAATTTTATCATCATTTTAAGATATCTGTGTGTAAATGTTACTGTTAGTATTTGATTTTATTTATGTCGCACCTTTAATCATAAAGTGGCACAACTTAAAAATGCTAGTTTCGTAGAATCTGCCATAAACTGTTTTATATTTGGAGCTGTCTTAGTATATTTAAACTTTGAGAAAATTTACGAATAATTATGAATAAATGAATGATAAGAAAAGGTTAAGCAATATTTTAAAGATGTATGTATGATTTAGTTTTATTTTAAAGAAGGAAGAAAAATAGTTTTACTATTGGTAAGAAAAAAATTCACAATTATGTCACTTTTGCAATAAAAAGAATATGTATCAATACGAAATGTGTCAATTTATGACTAAAAATTGCATAACGATTTTAGTATTATTTTGGAATAGTTCTTTTCTTGGATTATATTACAAACATTTTTCAAGTAACAAAGCAAAAAATGTCTCTTTAGAAGCAAATTTGCAAAGAATGCTATTTTAAACCCTATCACTATTGGCACACAACTAACATTATGTCGCTTTAGGTCTAGAACACCTCTCAAAATCCTATAGACTAAACTGGCGCAAATATAAATCTGCACTTACTGGCTGACTATTTCAACGTAGGTCGGAGTTACCTCAATAGATCGCACTATTTTGGATCGTTTTATTACCGAAACTCAAAATCTCAAAATTTTGATTTATGTCACTTTATGATTAAAGGTGCGATGTATTGTTCTAACTGTTTTAACTGTTTCGGCAAATTCCACATATGCCATGTGACTTGCATTAATTAATTTATTTAATAAGGTAAGATTTTTAGCAGGGTTCGAAAATATCATGATATTTATATAAATATCATATCACATGATATATATTCGGATATATATCCGATATATATCATTTTTAAAATTTAATTATTTAATTAAAAAACAGTATTGTTTCTTGCACAAACTATATTTTAAATTTTAACACAAACATTAACAAAAACCCTTATTCTAAACAACAAAACCGTTTATTCTAACTCAAATTAAAATGAAAAACAAAAGTAATTAATAAAATAAACAGATTTTAACATTATTTTATTAACATTAATATTTTAACACAAACACATAAACCGCTACTTATTATACTTTTATACAGGGGCGTATTGAGACATTTTCGGATGTTCAGAATGGAGGAAAACATTTTTAATTTAATAAATAAAATTATCGAAAATATCGGATATATATCAAGGTATAAATATCATGATATATATCCTCCGAACCCTGGTTTTTAGTTTTTATTTCTCCTTGTTTTTATGTTTATATTGATTTGTTAATTCTCTCATGCTAACAATGATTGTTTTATTGAAATAACAATAACCATTTACTTTGTATATATACCTATATACCATTTATAATATTGACACCTATGTAAATCTCAATTTTTTATTAAAACCTATTATGTATTTTCAACCTTGAAAAAGACGAAAAATAAACGTCGAAACGTCGGCAAATTAAGAAGTTAATGTTTCCTTTTGGCATATCCTCTTCTAACCTCACACTCACAACTATATTGGATATTAAAGATTGTTTATTAAATGGTTGATTGAGTGAATAACATATGTTTGTTTGGGTTCTTAGAAAATACAATGAGACTGTCAGAGGACTAGTTGACCAGTGGACATCTTAAAAGTTGTATGCGACAAATAATTTGCTACTCAACTGTTCTAATGGATCTCTTGACCTTTTGCAAAAAAAATTAAAGAAACACGAGCAAACCCATGTTTGATGAATGATTAAAACTATAATTGACTGAATTACTTTTACTATAAACATTATATTATCAAGTTAACAAAATTAAAACGTTTGTCTTTTTTTTAGATAGAACTGGTATAATAATAAAATCAGAAGTAAGAATTAAAAAAAACTAAAGGTTCTAATTTTCTATGTGTAACAATGGTTGCCTAACAGCAAGTAGTAAAACACCGAACAGCTGTCTGTAACAATGGTTACCTAGCGGTAGGCACTAAAAGCACTGAACAAAGATAATGAAGAAATTAGATTTAAACATACCTGGAGTTCTAGTTCATCTTTGTCCCTCTTAAAGCCGTTAGTTTCTTTGAGAACAGTTTCTAATTTGGTGCGCAATTGTTTACATTCTTCTCTAGCTTTGTTACGTTCATTTCGGACTTTGCTCCATTTTTCCCGCCAATTGGCTGTACAGTCGGACCACCATCTCATGGTTTTTTCCATTTGAGCCGCCCTACCTTTGGCTTCTTCCAGTTCTCTTTGACGCAAGGCCTAATATAGATATTAACTTTTATTATAAAAAATTAAATAACGTCACAATTCAACCTAATACATCTTATAATATTCCTCACATTTCTGAATTTCAAGCGTTCTGACAATGAATTTACATTACTAGAATGAGATTGATTTAATAAAGTTGTTAGATACAGGTATTTCTTTTCCAACCAAGCTCAAACAAAACGAAAATATTTGATAAAATGATAAAATTTATACACAATCTAAAACTAATATAGAATATATTAATTCATTAACCTTCATTACAAAAAAAAATACACAAGGCAAGTTGTACAGACCTGTATTACAGTTTTATTGAGAAATTCCCTAATAGAGCATGGTGGAAAAATACAGGTGAAGCGGTTAGCGGTAAGAAATTCGATCAGTCTTGCGCATGACGTCACTTTCGAAGCAGATTTTTATTATGCCTATTAGTGGATTTTATTTGTTGCACTAGGAGTAAGATTTCTGCACTAATCGCATTTGAATTGTTCAGTGTGGCTTCAAATGTTTGACTGCAGCACACGTATAGCATATACTTTTGACGAGTATGACAGTTCGAATACAGTGCAACAAATAAAATCCACTATATGTTGTAATGAAGTCAATTTTCCTCAATCAATTTATTTTCATTTTCCATTTTTAATAAATATTAAACGCGGAATGAAGTCAATTTTCCTCAATCAGTTTATTTTCATTTTTCATTTTTAATAAATATTAAACACGATTGAACTGCTGGTTCTAAGTTGATTTACATGCGCGAACGCCGATCGAGAATCGTGCGCGGTGGGTCTGAGTCTAAGTGGGATTGCTATTGGGAGAGGGAATCTACAGTGGGTAAAGGAGACCCGAGATGCGATTAAAATTATGAGTTCCATATAATTTTTGGTTGACAAAAGCAGTCGACTCTAATAAGCCGCATTAGAAATCAAATCACCGTCGATATTTTTTCCTTTTTCCGAGTATTTACAAATCCGTAAGGTAAAAAACCTTGTTCCGCTTTTTACGTTGGATATTGACTCCGTATATCATTTTAAAAACCGAATTAGCTTGTAGGAATAGGAATATTTTCAAATAGTGTTTAGTTAAAAGAATTAATTTGATTTAAATAATAAATAATAGAATTTGTTTCTTAGCAAATGATACCGTTTCTTTTGTTTTTATAAATAGGGTTTAGTTAAAAGAATTAATTTGATTTAAATAATAAATAATAGAATTTGTTTCTTAGCAAATGATACCGTTTCTTTTGTTTTTATAAATAGGGTTTAGTTAAAAGATTTAATTTGATTTAACTAATAAATATTAGAAATTGTTTCTTGGTAAAATATTACCGTTTTTTTTTTATAGTTAGTGTTTAGATAAAATATTTAGTTTGATTTCCTTAATAAACATTTGAATTTATTTCTTGACAGATATCATACCGTTTCTTTAAAAAGGGATAGAATTTGAATTAGATATTAAATGATAGGATTTAATTCTGTAATATTGTAAAACCGGGGATTTTAGACTTCTGATCTTTAGTCTGTATTTAGAAATTATTTTTTTCTTTTGATAGGTTAAATCGGGAATTAAATTTGATTTAATTGATAAATACTTTTGTTTAGTAAGTACCGCGTTGTAATTAAGTTGGAAATATTTATAAACGGAGTTTTCGAGGAGACGTTTTCCCTCTTTTAATAGTTTGTTTATTCCTTTACCGTATATTTGAATTATCTTAAATAGCATCCTGTCATTGTCTGAACGGACTCGTGATGACGATCAGTTCACCCTTGGAGTAGGTGCTATCCGCGTTATAATTTTTTTTTGTTAATCTGTAAACTGCGAATTTTGAATAATTTTAAATAGTATCCTGTCCTGTTTGAACGGGCTCGTGATGACGATCAGTTCATTCTTGGAGTAGGTACTATCCGCGTTAGTAAATTTTCTTCCCTCCGATAATAATTTGTTTTTCTCTTTTACCGTCAATTTAAATAACTTTAAATAGTATCCTGTCCCTGTCTCAACGGAATCGTGATGACGATCATTTCATTCTTGGACTAGGTGCTATCCGCGTTAGTTTTCTTTTCCCCTTTATATTCTTCATTTTTTTCGTGCAAACTGCAACTTGCAGAATTCAAAAATAGCTTCATTACCCTGTCTGAGGAGGCTCGTGATGACGATCAGCTCATTCTGGGATAATAGGCTACCCCGGGTATAAATTTATTTTTATTTTCTTTCCGTGTAGTTACTATAAGTAATTCTTTCGCGTCCCTGTCTCCTCGCACTCTCTTCAACCGTTTGGCTAATTTTTCTTCACCTAAATAGCAAAATACCTACATTTTAGTTTAATTCCCAATACCGCGGTTAAACAGTTATTTACCGAGTAAATAGCCACTGCGACCGGAACGTACATTTTATTTTAATTTAATTTTGACGTCTGATTGAGACTAGTCGCGAATCACTACCGTCCGTTTTGTTTCTTTTTTTTTTATTATTCAGGGTTATATTGACTATCACCGCAACTGGGGTGGGCGTTGAAATATTTAATTTCTTTTTTTTTTGTTGTTGTAAATAGTTAATCACAATATATGTGTCAATGTTAACTTGCCGTATTACTGGTTAATAATTCCCTACTTTATTTCCCCGTTATATTTCAGCTAGTGACAAATTCTGTACCAGCCCAAGCAACGATTAAAGCCCGTTACTTGTGGCCTACTATTACCTGTGTTTAAGTGACCTTTGACCCCTGGAATTTTTCATCTCCATCTGTAGCTACCCGAGTACTTTCGACGCCGTTTCGAGTTTGTGGAGTAAACCATTACCAAAAATCTGGCGCTCGAGAACCGCCCGTAACCAGCGTCATTCGTAAGGAACCGTTTTCTCTGTGGCGAGAAAACCCCTTACAATGTCTTCAATGTTAAAAAGCGAAATATTAAGTTATTTAAATATTTCCCTGATAGTGCTTAAAACTTCATAGTTTTATTTATCTTAAAATTTAATATTATTTCTATACATGAAGATGTCTTTTTAGTAATTATTGGTACGTATTATTCAATTAATTTCTTAATTAAATTGATAGTGTAATTGATATAAAGTTAAGTCATATTTTTGCTGTATTATAAGATAAACTGGCAGAAATTTAAAACCAACAGCAGTTTCAACTGAAAATCTCAGAGTTGAAAAAAGGACAATTGTCTACAGAAAGTGACGATAAATTAATAAGGCAGACAATAAGACATCCACAAACCTTTCCGGATAGCTTTGTTATGTGATTTATCTAAATATATATTTTCAGTTTTACAATGATTATATAGAACTAGGAAATAAAAGAGTAACATCTTGACAATCATTAAACAAAGCCAGTGCAGTTTGTAGGCGGCCGTGACAATAACGATGTTGACGTCATAAAACCTGCGCATCGCTTCACCTATATTTCTTACACCATGGTAATAGAGTAAAAATAGCTTTTTTGTAGGTATATTTTAACTTTTTTTTAAGCTATTGCATAGCTTTTATCGCGGCGACCGAATCAAGAAATTCCGTAACGAAAATAAACCTAACACCCTCCCACTCCGACCGGCACAGCGGTGCGGCGTTGAAAGCCGTGGAAGGTTTTATCCGAAGCGAAGTTAAATATACCTGTGCGGACTGGAACGTTTATGCAATACCAGAACTAGAAGAGCTTTCTCTGGCTTCTAATAAATTGGTATCACAAATGTTCCCGGCTAGCGTAAATATTAGATATTAATTTTTTTTGCAAGATTTATAAAATATTAATTTTTATTTTATCAGTGTTAACTATTTCATTATTAAGCTATTGCATAGATTTTATCGCGGGCTTTGAGCGCGGCGACCGAATTAAGAAATTCCGTAACGAAAATAAACCTAACACCTTCGAAAAATGAGTCCAGGATCCGTAAGTAGGGTCGACCTTCATCCATCTGTTTAATGGATAAAAGTTTTTTTTTATTAGATAAAATGTTTTTAAATATACCGCAAATGGGTTGCCTAAGAAAATACGGTCACGGCCATTTTTTGCTTTTCTCTCTGTATACAGATAAGAAAAGTATAAAAATCATGATAAAAGTTACTTATGATGTCATTCTCTATTATTTTGTTCCTATACATGATTTCCCTAAAATGGACCTAATTCGAGATATTTGAGGAAAAATGCAAATTTCGAATTTTAAAGACAACTCAAAAACGGATAAGGAGAAAAGCACCAAATTTTAAACTTAAGCTTTAATCTATCCTGCGGTGAGCTGATTAAAGTTTGGGCATAGTCGAATCATCTGGGGAAGACTTTACAGGGTGTTGTTTTTTTTATTTTAAGAAAATAAATAGTCTGGACCGTATTTTCTTAGGCAACCCTTTTGCAGTATATTTTTAAACATATTTTATTTATTAAAAAGAAACTTTCATCAATTAAACGGATGGGTGAAGGTCGACCTTACTTCGGATCTTAGACTAAATCGTAAAATCGAAAAATCAAAAAATTGAAAAATCGAAAAAGAAATTCCGTAACGAAAATAAACCTAACAGCCCCTACTCCGACCGACACAGCGGTTCGGCGTTAAAAGCCGTGCATCGTCTAACGTCGTTTCAGTTCGGCAGACTTTGGCATGGTGTTTGTGTGCGTGCGACTAGACGTATGCATGTAGACTAGCTGCTAACTACTCATAACTGATTCTATCTCTTTTAGACACAATTTCGGAAAAATTGAATTTGAAAATGAATAATGATCCACAAGAATCCACAACAAAATATTGGACCACCATTGACGCGGTATTTTCCAGATATTTAGAGGATATCAAGTCTCAAACTTATGTTTCTAATTTCAGTTACCATAAACCTATACTTTCAATGATAAAAATTCCAAGCAAATGTCCATTGTGCCTGTCTAAAATTTGATAATCTGGTATTGTAAGATCAATCATACTAGCAATCGATTGGATACTGTCTATGTAAAAGTTATTAAGAGCATTTGGTATGTCAAAAATATTTTTTATAATAACATTATTTTCTAGTTCAAGTTGAATTAAGTTATTCAACTTATTATTTTTTGGAATCAGACATTCAAGATATTTCCACATTTCCTTTGAATTTCCCCTTCGTAAATTTTTTTTGTATGTGTTTACTTTTTTCTGTTCTAATTAGCCCTATTTCTATGCAGTTTGTATTCATTCCAATTATTTTCTGTTTTTCTTGTGAATAATTTTTATATGCAAGGTCTCTGTGGCAGCTTTTACATTTTCATTCCACCATTTTTTGTATTTATGAAATATTTTTATTAGTTTTTTTTGGCGCTACAGAATCTACTGCGTTTAAAAATTTGTTACAAAATTATCATATTTTGCATTAATGTCATAAATATGATAGTTCCATGCTAATGTTGAAAGTTTTTTATTAATTAAATCAAAATTTAAGTCCTTACCTCTGCTTTCAATTTTAAAAACAGATCACCCATCACTATTTAATAGCACATTTGTTAAAAACATAAAATGATCTGAAATTCTTGGTGTTTTGATAACCTCAGCTGAAACTGAGTCATTAATTGTTATAACTAAATCTATTAGTGTACCTCCACCACTTCTATTTGGTCTTGTGCATTCTGTAACAATATTTTTTAATCCAGTATCTATCAAAAAATCACTTAATTTCGCACTGTAAGTGTTTTTAGTTAACAGGTCAATATTAAAATCTCCAGAAACAATAACTATTTGAGAATTATCACATAAATTTTCTTCAGCCTAAAAAATTTATACAGCTACTGCTAGGTGACCTATATAAAGAAACAATTAAAAAAAAATTATTTCCTAATATTACCATCACAGAAACAACCCAACAAATTTTTGAAATACAAAATTTAAAATATTTTAAAACCTTCAGTTCACTTTTTACATAAATTAAAGCACCCCCTATTTAATGAAAGCAAACAGTTTGAAGTACTTTTTTGATAAACATAAAAACTACAGAAAAGTATGAAAAAATATGTACTTACATTCATTTGCTTGTGGTATATATAAAACTGAAACTCTTATTTTAAAAGTTAGCCTACTTGGATATTGTGTTAATAAAACCCAGTGAGTTTCTTCATTCATAGTACTTAATTGTGATGGATAAAAGAACAGTTTTGATGAATGTTGGATGGCATTGATAAATATTAGAAAACGCCTTATCATGGTCCTATGATAAGGCGTTTTCTAATATTCATCAATGCCATCCAACATTCATCAAAACTGTTCTTTTATCCATCAAAATTAAGTACTATGAATGAAGAAACTCACTGGGACAGTTTAAAAGTTGTATGAGACAAATAATTTAGTATTCAACTGTTCCATTGAAGTTCAGACAGCTTGCCTCAAATTTTAAATAATACCCAAATAAAGCTAAAAAGTCCCAGTAATAAAATAATTGATACAGTAACAAATCATAACCCCACCTACCTCTACTACTATTAAAATAATTCCAAAGGCATCAGAAGTTCACCAATGTTTTGTACACACTACTAGATCAGCAACATTAAATATACAGGTTTATTTAGTTAAAATTGTAGGTAATTAGAGTTGTCTAATTTTATCTAATATTTCATTCATCACTTCAATAGCTGGATTGATTTATATCCATGTCAAAGTAGTAAATTAGTTTTTTTGGGTACAGAGTAGAAAAACAGTATCAAAATGTATAAACCAGCTGGCATAGTTTTTTCGGTCTCTTTGACCAGCAAAAATACGAACCAGCAACATGAAAGCAGTTTTATTATTGTTCCTGGTTTTTCAAAGTGAACTACATTTGCAGTTCTCTTGTGTCTACATTATTAGGTAAGGTTAAAAGACTTAAATTTTGCTATATAAGAAATGTATATGTATTTATATTTGCTACCTTTAACTAACCACTTCTGTAATTTTAATTAAACTGTTGTATTTTTGTATATCCTTTATAAATTTATAAATTGTAACACTGAATTTTTCACTTTATTAGATTTAGGTTTTCACCTACCTTCATCAAATAAATGATTGTCTCTCGATTCGTATCTTTTGTTAGTGTGAATGCAGTGTGCACTAAAAATTATACCTATATTTTGATAGAGACATATTTATTAGCAGAAACACAAGACTTAAAAGACCTAAAAACTACATTTAGAGTCTTGGTATTTAAGGATTTGTCTAAAACAGCAATTAAGTATGTACATTGTTTAAAATTTGTTAAATGCTCTACGGGGCTAAAAGTGTGGTTATAATGCCTGTAAGGATGAGTATTATATTGTAGAAATAAGTTAATTTTGAAGTAATATTATTGGCAAAAATTTAATTGTACTTATGTCAATAAGTGATAAATGAGTGTTTTACGAATAATACATTATTGATCAATTATAGAAAATTCATTTTCATTTGTAAAAGTGATTTAAATTGAAATTTAGGTTTGATAGAAAGGACTCCTAACCTTAGATTTCTTAATATCAGCAAGTTTAATTGAATATACATGTTATAACTGTATACTATCAATTATCGCTTAATGTTAAACATTCCTTCTTGATATTTACAATAAAACAAGCTGAATAACTGATCTTTATTCCAGTTTTAAAACAGTTTGGGTTTTCAGTTTTTTTTATTTGAATATCAACAGGTATTTAATTGTTACAAACGAATTCTATTAAAAATAAGTCAATTTACGTATTGTATTATCGAATAATTGTAATAGTTTTACCTCGTTTGCTTCCCATTCTGAACTATCAGCGATTCTAGAACTTGTTATGGATGCTGTATCATGATCTCTAGGGTGTTGGCGTCTACTTGAAGTTCCACTAGTGCTATTTTGCGCCATTTTTTTACGAAATACGCATCCTTTATTTAATGTATACACTGATTTATTTAAATTTTAAGCTAATTTTAATACAAAAATTGTTTATTTGGTTAACCAAGCGTCCAAATCTCAAATTTGTCACCCACCGACTGAGACTGACACTAATGACAGAAGACAGATGATTTTGATGATCAATGATGGTTCTAGTTACTTTTGCATTTTCCGACCAGTGTTACCGCTGCCGTTTCGTTGTTAATCGAGTGTAGTTCGGGTTGCCTAAGTAGTAGATTGTGAAATATTAATACGGAAATTGGATATTTTTTAAATCTATAATGCGCTAGTTCAGTGTGATGTCATTTTGGTTCCACTGACATTTAATTCTAACCAAACTTTTAACAAAAACATCAATAAATTTGACATATACGTTTTTACTGTTTTTAGTTTATTTCTAAATATGGTTTACAGGTCATAAAAAATATTTTAAAGGTATGTAATTGGTAACTAAGCGATTGTATATTTGACGCATGTTATCTACTTACTTTAGGAATATATTTATAAAAGTGAAAAAACGATATAATTTAGGTAAACAAAACGCACTCAAAAAATCTACTGTCACTTTAATTGTCAGTGGAACCATAATTACATCATCACTGAACTAGCGTATTATCATTAAACATAAGGTATCTAAATTAAAGTAATTAAATGTTAATACAATACTCTTAATACGTAACAGTTTATATTTATTAATAAAATAAATATCTGTTGAATATTTCGCAAAATATAATGAAAGATATGAGGCATTTTAAGTATATTTTACTCTTGGGGTTGTAAAATGTAATAAAAAAAATAGTTTTTGGCTGTTTCCATTTGTAAAAATTTACTATATTATACTATTAACCTACTTTCAGTAGATATAACTTAATTCAGTACCAAATAATACTCCAAGGGTTTTAAATGTAATTTCATAAGATGGTTAGGATTAGTTTTTAGATTTTGTACCTATTAGCATCTCATTATTTTAAAACAGGTTTGTGATTATAAAACAAAATTTGTCCATGGCGAGGTTTAAAAAAATATAACTTTTATTACCTTTGCCTACTATCCTACTAATAATTATTGTTTTATTGAATTAATCTTATTAGTTGGTTGAAAATTACAAGAAAATCTTCTACTTTTGAACAGGTTTCTACAGTTGACCTCCATTTTCGTATTAATTGTTATATTAACCTGAAGAACTTGCAACAATGGACTCGACAAGTGAAGAATTGAAAACTGAAGCCAAGTTCAAGGTTGTTTTACTAAAAACCTACCTCGATGCTAAAAACTGTACCGACACAGTCACGTATAACCATTTCTTCATATTCCTTTGACATGAAAAGATACTCATAGTACTGAAAAGTTAGTTTTATAAATATTTATTTCCGTCATTATATTTATTTTGAAGTAGGTATACCTTATGAATAATTGGTCCGACAGTAAATTGAAAGTTAAGTATAGTGACTTGAATTTACAAATTACGATAAGTAAGGCAACTAGTTTATTAATGGTGCCTATCTGACGTAAGGAACATAGACGTACCGATTTGCTTTTTGGAATGGGTTTCTACGTAATATTGGAGATTTTTAATTTAGAATAACAATAACACTTATAACCCAACACACATTTTGGTTCGGGGAAATAATGTCCCAGTATCTGTCTGCCTCCAATTATAATGATGGCCTTTTAATTTTTTCTTCAAAGGGTCGGCATATATAGGTCACTACTGCCAGATCCGGCGGAAGGGCCGAGCGACCCAGGCGGCTGTCCAGGGCGTCTAATTCAAGAGGCGCAAAGAGCGCACCATCGACCAAAATTAATAAAAATTTATAAAATAATAAAATTAATAAAAATTAATAAAAATTAATAAAAATTAATAAAAATTAATAAAAATTAATAAAAATAATAAAAATTAATAAAAATTAATAAAAATTAATAAAATTATAAAATTAATAAAAATTAATAAAAATTAATAAAAATTAATAAAAATTAATAAAAATAATAAAAATTAATAAAAATTAATAAAAATTAATAAAAATTAATAAAAATTAATAAAAATTAATAAAAATTAATAAAAATTAATAAAAATTAATAAAAATTAATAAAAATTAATAAAATTAATAAAAATTAATAAAAATTAATAAAAATTAATAACAATTAATAAAAATTAATAAAAATTAATAAAAATTAATAAAAATTAATAAAAATTAATAAAAATAATAAAAATTAATAAAAATTAATAAAAATTAATAAAAATTAATAAAAATTAATAACAATTAATAAAAATTAATAAAAATTATAAAAATAATAAAATTAATAAAAATTAATAAAATTAATAAAAATTAATAAAATTAATAAAAATTAATAAAAATTAATAAAAATTAATAAAAATTAATAAAAATTAATAAAAATTAATAAAAATTAATAAAAATTAATAAAAATTAATAAAAATTAATAAAAATTAATAAAAATTAATAAAAATTAATAAAAATTAATAAAAATTAATAAAAATTAATAAAAATTAATAAAAATTAATAAAAATTAATAAAAATTAATAAAAATTAATAAAAATTATAAAAATTAATAAAAATTAATAAAAATTAATAAAAATTAATAAAAATTAATAAAAATTAATAAAAATTAATAAAATTAATAAAAATTAATAAAAATTAATAAAAATTAATAAAAATTAATAAAAATTAATAAAAATTAATAAAAATTAATAAAAATTAATAAAAATTAATAAAAATTAATAAAAATTAATAAAAATTAATAAAAATTAATAAAAATTAATAAAAATTAATAAAAATTAATAAAAATTAATAAAAATTAATAAAAATTAATAAAAATTAATAAAAATTAATAAAAATTAATAAAAATTAATAAAATTAATAAAAATTAATAAAAATTAATAAAAATTAATAAAAATTAATAAAAATTAATAAAATTAATAAAAATTAATAAAAATTAATAAAAATTAATAAAAATTAATAAAAATTAATAAAAATTAATAAAAATTAATAAAAATTAATAAAAATTAATAAAAATTAATAAAAATTAATAAAAATTAATAAAAATTAATAAAAATTAATAAAAATTAATAAAAATTAATAAAAATTAATAAAAATTAATAAAAATTAATAAAAATTAATAAAAATTAATAAAAATTAATAAAAATTAATAAAAATTAATAAAAATTAATAAAAATTAATAAAAATTAATAAAAATTAATAAAATTAATAAAAATTAATAAAAATTAATAAAAATTAATAAAATTAATAAAAATTAATAAAAATTAATAAAAATTAATAAAAATTAATAAAAATTAATAAAAATTAATAAAAATTAATAAAAATTAATAAAAATTAATAAAAATTAATAAAAATTAATAAAAATTAATAAAATTAATAAAAATTAATAAAAATTAATAAAAATTAATAAAAATTAATAAAAATTATAAAAATTAATAAAAATTAATAAAAATTAATAAAATTAATAAAAATTAATAAAAATTAATAAAAATTAATAAAAATTAATAAAATTAATAAAAATTAATAAAAATTAATAAAAATTAATAAAAATTAATAAAAATTAATAAAAATTAATAAAAATTAATAAAAATTAATAAAAATTAATAAAAATTAATAAAAATTAATAAAATTAATAAAATTAATAAAAATTAATAAAAATTAATAAAAATTAATAAAAATTAATAAAAATTAATAAATAATAAAATTAATAAAAATTAATAAAAATTAATAAAAATTAATAAAAATTAATAAAAATTAATAAAAATTAATAAAAATTAATAAAAATTAATAAAAATTAATAAAAATTAATAAAAATTAATAAAAATTAATAAAAATTAATAAAAATTAATAAAAATTAATAAAAATTAATAAAAATTAATAAAAATTAATAAAAATTAATAAAAATTAATAAAAATTAATAAAAATTAATAAAAATTAATAAAAATTAATAAAAATTAATAAAAATTAATAAAATTAATAAAAATTAATAAAAATTAATAAAAATTAATAAAAATTAATAAAAATTAATAAAAATTAATAAAAATTAATAAAAATTAATAAAAATTAATAAAATTAATAAAAATTAATAAAAATTAATAAAAATTAATAAAAATTAATAAAAATTAATAAAAATTAATAAAAATTAATAAAAATTAATAAAAATTAATAAAAATTAATAAAAATTAATAAAAATTAATAAAAATTAATAAAAATTAATAAAAATTAATAAAAATTAATAAAAATTAATAAAATTAATAAAAATTAATAAAAATTAATAAAAATTAATAAAAATTAATAAAAATTAATAAAAATTAATAAAAATTAATAAAAATTATTAAAAATTATTAAAAATTAATAAAAAATAATAAAAATTATTAAAAATAAATGTTTTCTGTCTCTTTGTTCTCTACTTCCTCTACGATCACCTGCTCTCTACACTTGAGAGGCAATAAGTTACACCTGAAAATCATATAATTTATATTAATATGTATGACACTTCGATAAAACTAATTTGAACTACTGGCACTACTACTCTTTATATTATAAATAAATATTGTTTTTTGAATTATAATAAAGTATTATTTGTTTTTTTTTTGTCGTTTATAACCCTATCTTTGTATCATAAATAAATTCATACCTAAAAACAGAAATTAAAAAAAAAAATTTTTTGCAAATCTGGTATAATATTGTAGATAGCGACATCGGTCTGGTAGCGAAGGGGTTTTAACAGTCAATTAATAATTGATTATTCATCATAAAACAATTTAAGACAACGGTCGTTTAAAAGCGATAACTTATCGGGACAAAAAAAACCACGTCAAAATGTATTGGAAGTATTTATTTTTAATATATTTCAGACAATGTAAATTCACATTGACAATTGCATGTACAAAAAAATGTTGTTTGTATTTCGTGTATAAAATTCGTGTTTTCATGGCACATTCGAGAGAGAAACACTTTCATGTGCCATTAAAAAAACACTCATTTTGCGCACTTAATACAAAAATAACTATTTTTTCTTTGTATTTGTATAATTTATATCAACAGAGCGCTATAGGCTATTTTTATATATTTGGTCTTTCTTCAAAAAAATGTGCTTCCTGTTATCAAAACAAAAATCTGACACTATAGCGCTCTCTTTAAAATTTATTCTCAAATTAAGTGATAAAAACCACATTCATCCAAAAACTTTTTCCATTATGAATAAAATTGGTGTCTGGACCTCTTAACGTTACGCCTATGTATTTCTTCACGCAGGTATCTTATTATGGCACAACCTAACAGTACTTATCCATCCGACGAACCATCGTACCATCGTATACCTACGTGGAGGCTTGAGGCTTCAAAACTCAAAAGTTCTTCACCCAGTGCGGTCTCAATGTCTCGTACAATGAACCCGCCTGTACCAGCGAATTCGCATTTTCCTTAAATTTCCTCAAAAATTATTTTCTAATAAGTAATTCCTTAGTAATTATGCGATATTTTGATAACGGTGAGTGCGGTGTTATTTCTTATCAAGCATTACGTGGTATAGCAAACAGAGTTAGTTCGTATGTAAATATGAGGAGGAACAATACTTATACTGAGGGGTTTAACAGGCCGAAGAAAAGTGTCGCACGGGCCTACTTGTGTTGGTTTTTCGGCGGAATTTTCGGTCTGCATTTGTTCTATTTAGAACGAGATGCTCACGCTTTTCTGACTTGGAGTACTCTCGGTGGATATGGATTGGGGTGGTTAGCCGATATTACGAAGATTCCTAGATATGTTAGGGATTGTAATGATGATCCCAAGTTTTTGGGGGAGCTTGGAGAGAGGATGCGAAGAAATCCTAAAGTAAGTATCTGTTAAATCTTTAAATATCGACTCGTCGACCGAAAAATATCAAATTTAAATAAGTTATTCGAATTAAAATTATTATAATCAAGTCATTAAATACATATGCAGAAATTAAACAAAAATAGAAATAGTGATGAACTAAAAGAAAATTATAAAAGGCAGGTATAAAAATGTATTTAATAAAACTTAACTGCAGAAATTAAACAAAAATAGAAATAGTGATGAACTAAAAGAAAATTATAAAAGGCAGGTATAAAAATGTATTTAATAAAACTTAACCTTTACAAAAACTAAAAGGTATTATAATGAATTAATAGGCCAGGAAATAGATTAAATTTCCTTATGAAAATTTTTAGTACCTAATGTTAAAAATTTGTATATATATTGTTTCAATTTGATGTCATGACGATCCCCCTTGAATTAATTTTATTTAAATTGTAAAACAATCGTAATTGCTTCTTGATAATCATATTTTATACAGGGTGACTCATAAATGTGGTTACATACTGCATATGTTTTTCGGCTCTATCGAGTCACCCCGTATAAACTAAGTGTCCTGAATTTTTAATATAATATTAAATAAATGTAAGGCCTGTCACTCTATGTCACAAAGGGTGTTAAACCGATTGCAAACATTTTAAAAATTAGAAAATTAGTTTTTTGTGCATCTCCCTGTATTTTAAAAGTTTCTTCATCAACTTTATAAATTATTACATTTTTAAATTAACAAAAATTTAGTATATAATTAAGCAAAATTTTGTTGTAATCCCATGAAAAGTTTTCCTAATTTGTGTATCCAAAGTTACTATTCGCTCAATGCGAAGTCATGGTAGGGCAAGCAAAAGCGATACCAGCGCATCTTAGGGCGATATTTTGTAATTTTGGCATATCAAATACACGTATACATTTTACTTTTTTTTTTCAAAAAAGTAGGTAAAAACAATATTACAACAAGCAACCGGAGTTGCTGTGTTGAAAATTGTAAAAATACTAGCAAAAAATAAATGAAAATTATAAAAATTGTCAGTAGCAAAGTGGAAATCACAATAAATCAAAGAAATAAATGGATAAGTGTACAATAAGAAGAAAAAATACCTTTATTTTTGTAATAATAACAGTAATACTGGAAATAGTAGACATCGGAAACTTGAAAGGTTTTAAATAAATAATAAATTTTCATTTTACGATGTTCTTCAACGTTCTAAAATGTTCAGCAAGGACTAGACATCAAAATTTCTGCTTTTGATTATTGTATGTGGCTGTAATGCAATTTTGTGACTTACTAATATAGGAAACCAGTTTTAATCATTCATTCTATGTTTCCTTTTGAACAAAAATGCAAATAAAAATAATAATCCTTCTGTTTATACATTTTAACTTCACGCTATTATTGAATGGTGTTTTTTTAGTTTGACAGAATAGGATAATTCTTTAAAGACAATTTATTATACTTAGGCAACTTCCCATACATTTTCAAGTAAATATTGTTGCCTGCCTGTATTTTATTATTGATTATAGTTATTTATGTTTAATTTAAGCGATAAAAATATATAATAATATTAAATTAATGTTTTACTTGTTTTACAAATCCATATACTTTTATTAAAACTAACATATATACTTTTTAATTATGAATTCAATTAAAAATTGTATTGTCAGTATACGCAGAAATAGTCCATTAGTACCTAAAAGGAATTGGCGCTGCTGTCACGCACGGAGCGAATAAGTATACGATGTTTTTTATCTATTTTGTTTATCATCAAATAGAATTAGATAAATGTATTATAATACAAAGTGATGCTAATATCTATGTGTAGACAGATAACAGACCTAGCAAAATCAAATCTACGGGCCTACTTACTATGTCTGTATACAAGCGGTGTATGGGCGATGGTTTATACATGATAAGATTTGATGTATTTGAGTTAGCAAGTCGTATGAATATCCTGCAATGAAATTATACAGTGAGCACCATAAGTCTTACCCCCCCTATCTAACTCGTTACTGGAGTCTTGTTAGGAAAATCGCCGAGACACATCGATTTTTGATTTCTACAATGTACATTTTTGTATAAATAGTTTACCCTTAATTTCATCCCTTACTGGAGGGGAGCAACCCTTTCGAAAAATTTAAATGGCATGGGGTGGTGAGTGATAGCTCATTTGAAAGAGGGTTTTATGCTCTATTCAACCGGGGAAAAAAATTTGAAATTTGCTTCATTAATTCTCGACTTATTGTTGTTTCAGAATAACGGAAATTAACGTAGCGCACTCATCCTTAGAATTAAAATTCGGACCTGCATGATTTCGGTTTTGGTTCAGACGTGAAGTAAGACTTTTTGCCATTAGAAGGTCATTGTTAGTCTAGTTGCTTTCCTATTTTGTGAGGTTTTTTATTTTTAAACATTATTAAATCAACTCGTAATGAAGCAAATTTCAAAAATTTTTGCAAGGTTGAATAGAGAATAAAACCCTCTTTCAAATGAGCTATCACTCACCACCCCATGCTATTTAAATTTTTCGAAAGGGTTGCTACCCTTCAGTAAGGGATGAAATTAAGGGTAAACTAATCATGCAAAAATGTACATTGTAGAAATCAAAAATCGACCTGTCTCGGCGATTTTCCTAACAAGACCCCAGTAACGAGTTAGTTAGGGGGGTAAGACTTATGATGCTCACTGTATAGTTAATTGATTTGCAAATGCACTAACACACGTAGCAATGTAGTTTACTCGGGTAATTGAGTGGAAGCAATGCTGTTTGGGACAAAATTCTGAAGTAGTGATATACGAGTAACTTTACTGATCTTTTGCCGAGAGCTATAATTAAATAGTATTTGTAAAAAATTATCGGATACACCATGCCTCAATTTAACAAGAAATGTGGAAGATATTTTTCTTTTATACATCTTCGTAACCCTCTGTAAATCATTCAGAAGAATGCCTCGATTATCAAGGTGATGACCAGAAACTCTTGAAAATAACGTTCAATCAGACAATTTGGATTAAGTTCGACTAGCCTTAATTTTGCTGTAATTGTTTGACAAATGCTTCGTTTTATTTTATATGTAACAACAAACAAAATCGATTGAATCTGGGGTCGATATTTTTTTAATTTCTAATATATATTGTAACGATAGTCTAATTTATTTATAGTTTATTTATTTAAAACACACTATTTACAATTTATTTGTGACGTATTAATTTATATAATACTTAGGCACTAACTGACAATTCTAATTTATTTATTACAATTTAACTTTTGAGTCCAATACTTTATACTAAACTAACTGTCCGCCGATAAGTCGGGCTATTTATACCAAGTCCAACTCTGCTACGAGAAGTTTCTAGACGCTTCCGAAAATTCCATCTCTGACTCAACGGCACGCACAGCCCGTTCTAGCAGTTTCTCGAAGCGTCAGCGGCATACCTAGAAGATTCCGTCGTTTCGAGCATGAGTCGGGTGGCACAGACTTGAAGGTCGCTTGCTTAGACAGAGATGGTGTAGGAATTCCCATGACAATATGTACCCATTTTTCAAGAGTCTGAGGTCATCATTTTGATAATCGAGGCCTTCTTCTGCTTGATTTACAGAGAGGATTGCGATATTTTAATAAGCCCCATTTAGTAAGTGATTTGCATATCTTTTCGCCAACTCTCAGAACTGTTGCTAATAATTGTTAATAGTTTCTCATAGGAACATCTTAAGATTTATGATAGAATTCGTGATACCAGTTTGAAAAACATTTCAATGCTTGTCAGTTTTTTGCAAACTGATGTGCAAGAAGATGTATAAAATTAAGGATGAAGGTGTGAATGGGTGGGATTAATTACGATGATAACAAGAAAAAAGTTTCCTCTCACAATGTCAGTTTAAATAGCGACCGGTTTCGAAGTAGGTTATTTCATCTTCAGGCACATCTAAATGGATTGTCAAATCAATTATACGAGGGTGAATGAAATATAAACAGGATTTTGTTTTAAATCAACTGTATTTATTAAACGAAGAAAGACAAAAATAAGTTATTTTTCTACATAGCCGCCCCCTTTAGAAATGCATTTTTCCTAGCGCACTGGAAGGTTTTTCATCCGAGTATCGTAAAATGAAACTGGTTGGGCCAGCAGCCAATTGCGCACGAACTTCTCCACACCGGGGTCATCGTCAAATCGTTGCCCTCCTAAAGCTTCCTTAAGCGGCCCAAACAAATGAAAATCGCAGGGTGTTAAGTCCGGGCTGTAGGGAGAATGTTCCAGTTGAGTCCAGTACATTTGTTCCAGTTTTGAGGCTGTTAGAGCTGCAGTATGTGGTCTGGCATTGTCATGGAGAAGGATGCCCTATCGAATCCGTTGTTTTCGTCTTTTGCTGCGATATGCATCTCTCACCTTAGTCAATAGCTCCCATAACTTATTCCCACCTGTTCTGCAATTTCGGATACCGTAACTCGTCGATCGTCTTCGCGAATCTTTTCAGTAGTAATGCTGGCCCGAGGACGGCGATTATGTTCCACTCGTTCTCGCTCTTCTTTGAACTCCTTATGCCAAGCGAGCACGTGAATCCTTGACAATGTTTGATCTCCGAACTGTGCTCTTAATCTTCGGAAAATATCCGTCGCCTGAACTTCTTCACGAGCGAGAAATGTTATAATAATGCGTTGCGCAGTGGAAGGGTGCATTTTTTGCTCTTACATTGCGACAGCTACTGACAAAGAGGTTTGGGATCTGAAATGACTGGCTCTTCCTACTCCCAGTGACCTCACCCAAGCATACAAGAAGCACGCGCTCACTCATGCCAATCGTAAATGCTCAAGAAAAAAAATCTCGTTTATATTAGATTCATCCTCGTATAATTTCATTCCAGATGTTCCTAAGACTATTCTATATATAAATTGTACTTATAAAAAACTTGAAAAGATTGTATGATCTGCTGACTCAAATATATCAAATCCTCTGATGTATAAACCATCGCCGAGTGTTTTCGCTTGGATACAGACAATGTAGG